ATTTAATGAAGCCTTACTGACAGGCTACTTCAGGCACTTTATTGTGATTGAAACATTGAACACCTAGTCTCTCCTATCTACCTTTCATTCCCCTTCTTGTGTTGAGATACACAAGTCGGCCGGATGCCATACACTGCGCCGTTGAAGACGTTGCTCTCCGCGCAGCACATTGAATACTCTCGCCCAACCGAAGAGCTTTGCGAGAAGCCCGGTTTGGCGCGCTCCTCGTCAGAACGGGTTCAGAATTCCCGTTCATATTCCTCTACCTCATATACCCGTCGTCATCGGAGGAGTCCTTCGAACACCAAACCGACAGTGCATACCGCTCCAGAATCCCCGGCCTGGGCTTCCCCCTCTATTGATCCACATACCAGTCTCCGTCAGTCCCCACCGCCGATAAGCAATGCTATCATTCCTCCCGGGGCCGTAATCTCGCCTCCTGAGTCTGGGCCGAACTCAAGTGATGAAGAATCACCACACCGGAGTGGGGAAGGCGTCAAGTTTGACGAGCTGGAGGCTGCCGTTCGATCAATTAGATTGAGGAGGGAGAGTTCGCCAGAAAGAATGGATCAATCAGACCGCCCAGAAAGACAGGTTCGGCCCTCTTCGAGTGTGCCATCCACCACTGAGGCAAAGCCCACTCGGCCCAAGCTCCCCCACCTACCATTGTCCAAAGAAGCTCGCAAGATCAGTCACTCTCGATCATCCACGGAAACCGCCATCGAGTTGGCTCGGGAATCGGCACTGACTAGCTCGCCCGAAGAAAGTGATGTGGAGATGTCGTGCAAGCCCCTAATGGTCCGTAAGAAATCAGGTGAGCTTGTTCGACCTGCTCTTCGCCCTTCTTCCTCGCGGAGACGACCATCCAGCATGCCCGGTACTCCCGTCTATTCCAAGGCGGTGCACTTCGACTCCCACTTGGAGCATATCCGTCACTTCCTCCAACTGGACAGGCCATTGGCTGTCAGCACAGAAACATCACCAGTTGAAAATCACGACACCAAAGCCGAGTTTCCCTTTAGCTCTACTGACTCGCGCGGTCCGTCGTGGGAATGGGAGATCAAGCTTGCCAATTGGCCTAAGGATCCCTCATCACGTGCCACTCGTCCGGTCCGCCTTGAGCGGTTGTTCTTGTCTGCTGATAAGAGCACTTTGATTGGCACTGTGGCAGTCGCGAATCTTGCTTTCCATAAGAATGTGACGGCTCGTTTTACACTGGATTATTGGAGGACTACTTCGGAGGTTGCAGCGGCATACTGTCATGATGTTCGCCGTCAGCAAGCTGCCGACGGGTTCGATCGCTTTTCATTTGACCTCAAGCTGAATGATCAGGCCAATCTGGAGACCAAGACCATGTTCATGTGCATCCGCTACAACGTGGAAGGACGGGAATATTGGGATAACAATGATTCGGTGAACTATCAGATTGATTTCCACAAAGTCCCCAAGACCCCAACGAGCAAACCGGCAAGTGGCGGATCGCGTCCTGCTCTTCCGCGCAGCCGATCCTTCACTAGCTCTCATACCGTTCGACCCCAATCCATGCCGCCTAATTATGATTTCCCTGACCTCAGCGACAAGACGTCATTCACGAACCCTTTCAGTGGTACGAATGGTGCACCCTTGACTCGCACGCCCTCGGATGATATCGATACGGTCGCGCCGCCCAAACGCCGTGAAAACTCCAACCGCCAGGCATTTGGGAACCGTTACGACTTCGGAGCGTCGCTGTCTGCTGCTATGCGGTCAAAGGCGCCTCTGGATCGGACCGCTCTGACTGCCCATGCGAGATCCGGGGAGACTGTGGTGCCCGAGACCTCCAAACCGACCAAGAAAACTCCCAGTTTTGAGCAGGGCCATGGTTCCCCAGTGAGCGATAATACCCGCACCGGAAGTCGTGTGGGAGATCTAAAACCTTCCTCTTTGGTATCTAGCAAGCCACAGCTCGAGTCTTCCGTGTACCAGGAGTTGGTCGATAAGTACTGCTTTGTAAGTTTCACAGCAGCAAATCATACCATGACGTTCAAACTAACCTGTCATAGTATGGGTCTCCGCAAGGATCGAACCTGAAAGCACAGCCATCGATCTCGAGCGGTCGTGAAGGCGAGGCCCCAAAGAATGTATCTGCCCCAGCCTGTCCTTCGCCGCCGCTTTCTCCTCGGTCTCCTGCTCCTCTCGCTGCTCCTGTGGCCGAAGCACCGCGTGCTTCCACTAGCCCACGCGCCTCTCCACTGCCCTCAGCCTCAGCCTCCCCCTTGGCCTTTCGCTTTCCTTTCCACGGCGGATTCATGAATGACCCTCACTCTCCAACAGTTATTAGAGGGTGAGTAACATAAGACTGTTCTATGACAGCGTCCAACCTGGCTGCAATCCCCTCCAGTCGACCTTTAATGCATATCGTTGACGACTTCCGTGAAGGGGATTTGGTAGTCCTTGCGTGGAACTTGACAGATCCGTCGGCTTGATATCGACCCCTTTGATCCCAAGATGTATCGGTGCACTCTGATGGATGGAACTGTTTTTCTTCTTCTTTTGACTGCCTCTCAATATTATCTGCTCCACCCGCAAGTGGTTTCGACCAAGCAGCACATGTGAGCGATTGTCTGCGATGCATAATAAACCGCGGACGTTTCGTTGAATCATTCGCTGTGCGGTTCGCTACCACCAGTCGTCGGCCCAATTCTCGACGCGATCTCCCCAGCTATTGTCTGGCGCGGTCATTCTCACGATTTTTCTTGTTTACCTCCGCGTGCCGCTTTGGCTACGCATGATGACGCTACGATTTCTTTTCCGAGGCATTTTTCGATTCTTCGCTGTTCTTTCCTGGATGGCCATTCCTTTTCAACGCAAAAAGTTTTTTAGTATGCTCGCCTCCGCTCTTGATCTCGATGCATTGCACTTCCTGGGTTTCTTTTTTTTTTTTTTTTTTTTTTTTTGATTGCATGGTGTTCTGGCGTTTTGTCTTCCTTGCTTTTTCTTTCTTGCTTGTTATTCCGGTTTAAGTTACACGATACGGTCTACGTTTCTGGTTGGACGTGGACAGGGGACGTGGGAATGGGAAGATAGCCATACATGACTGCCTCCTATATAGGCAACGCGACGTATTTTTGCAAATCACACGAGACATGATGAACGTGACTGGGTCTTTTTTTCACTTGTAGTTTCTAAAATATAAAGCATTCTCTCATTAGTTAACAAAAATGCTAGCCACGGGTTCAAAAGCTAAGGGGTAGATAAAATGAAGTTCACATTCATTCGAGTGGTGGAGTCTTGGGGTATACTTCCCGATTGGGCTAGCGCCGCCACTTATCTTATCACCACGTGAGCAGTATCATTGTCGCTCGACGCAGGAAAATGCGGGCTCGCCGATGCCTGGTAGACGCGCTGGAAACCGACCCTTCATAACGCCCTTTTTCTTTCCCCGCCGCCCGCCAATCACCGCCGCATTGCAGAATGATGGTTAAATCTCTCGCTTACCTAAAACACTTACTTCCCGGATCACGCGTAATTGGCTTTCCTATTTAAACTGCCTTCCCCCTCCATTTAGTCATTTTCTCATTTTCCCCCTCTCTTGTCCTCAACGCCAACCCATCAAACGCGTGTTTTTCATCATTTAATCGACAACACAGACGTCGATCTATCTACATTTTTAATCCTTTCAATTCTTCATATTTGAAACTATGTCTGGACGTAAGTTTTAATGCTTCTTTTATGTGTTGTCGCCACTATTTCCCCTCATCTCTATGTTGTCGGCGTGGTGAAGTTCCCAAAATAACAACTGGTGATGCTCCTGCCGACACGTGACTTATGCCTCGGGCATCAACTGCATCACACCTTTCCTAATTAGGAAAGGCTGTCCACCTTTACGCATTTTAACACAACCTCCAACTACCCTCAACTACCTATACTTCCTTGTCCTTCATCCTGTTCTATATAATACTGCCACATATCCCCATCATCATCAAACAATTTCTTTAACAAAACCTAACAAACCAAAACAGGCGGCAAAGGCGGAAAGGGTCTCGGCAAAGGCGGCGCCAAGCGCCACCGCAAGATCTTGCGCGACAACATCCAAGGAATCACCAAGCCGGCCATCCGCCGTCTCGCCCGTCGTGGTGGTGTCAAGCGTATCTCCGCCATGATCTACGAGGAGACCCGCGGTGTGCTCAAGTCCTTCCTTGAGTCCGTCATCCGTGACGCTGTCACCTACACCGAGCACGCCAAGCGTAAGACCGTCACCTCCCTTGACGTCGTCTACGCTCTCAAGCGCCAGGGCCGTACCCTCTACGGTTTCGGTGGTTAGATTTGTCTTGCGACTTTGATCGTCTTGAGCGACTTTACCACCCACTCAATCCGTGTGAGGTGGCGGTCGAAGGCTTTTCTTACTTAATGCGCTACGGTCTGATGGGATTCTTCTTTTTTTTTGCGTCAAATGGTTATGGGGTTTAGGGAATTTCTTTGGGACTGCTTTTATGTCTTCTGAGGTTGGGACTTTTCTTTACGTGGGCAATGGACTTCTGTGTCCTTGATAACTAGTTGCTGATAGGCTCGCGGGTTGACTCCATCGAGTGCAATATCACGTCTTCTATCAGTCATTTGTTTTTTTACGTAGTTTCTACACTACGGAGTAGTTTGTAGCAAATAATTTTAGTTGTTTGGGTAGGTAGTAGACTGGGCCATTTATGCTGTTTTTGATCAATGACGGTGTCGCTGGTTATACATAGAAATGTCTCTCGCACAAAGTATGCTTTTTACCGCCTTCATATTTATCTGAAGTGACCTCTCCAACAACCATCTTAGAAATACTGCTACGAAGACATCACAAGGCCACAAACGCGGCCGACTATTCTTGTCAATTGTAAAGTGGGAAGTCACGGGCGGAGAATCGTCCCCCGCAACTTTAAATTCCCTTTCAGCTCAGCGATAACACTTCTACCTCGTTACAAACCCAATTCAGGCTCCTATGCAGAATTTCCGTTAGCATTCCGGTTGCAGCAAATATGGCTTCATCTTTAGTGAAAGCAAGATTCTTCTACCCCCACGAGACCGCCCGTCATGCTGCGACCATTCTCGGGTTCCCATCTAGAGTCTCCATCGCTTCCGCGTACTACGAAAGCGCCTGTGTCGACATTGCTAATTTGGCATCTGTAATTTCGGCCCATGAACCAGTTCGACTATATGCACGACCCGAAGATATCCAGAAAGCAAAGTCAATGGTTAGCCAAGCTATTACAAAATATCCGAGTAATACCTCGAATATCTCTGTGATTCCATTCCTCACAAATCACCTTTGGGTCCGCGATACAGGCCCTGTCTATGTACGTGGAGTTAACGAATCCATCCATTAACGTTTCGCAATAAACTTCCGTTTTAGTGAATGGGGGAGGAAACATGACCTTGACGCCCACGACCGGGCTTCAGATGGGCTTGATTGGCCTGTGATGGCACCTGAACAGATTGAAGAAAACGGAAGCTTTGCCCGTAGGGTTATCGAATCCGATGTTCTCCCATCTCCGGTGACTCTAGTGGAATCACCGATCCGTTTGGAAGGTGGTGCACTAGCTGTGGATGGCGAAGGCACACTTCTGGCCACTGAAAGCAGCATCATCAATGAAAATCGCAACCCGGGTCTTTCGAAGACCACGATTGAAGCAGAACTGCGTCGTCTGTTAGCGTTGAGAAAATAATCTGGTTCCCTGGCCGAAAGAATCTGGATGTCACTGATGTGCATGTTGACGCTGAAGTCAACTTTGTCCGGCCCGGGGTTGTTGTCCTCTCACGGCCCCATTCTAGCGTGCCTAAGGCCTGGGTAAAGATCTATGAAGAGATCAGGGGCATTTTGGGCCAGTCGGTCGATGCGAAGGGTCGACCTTTTGAGGTTCACATAGTGGATGAGCCGAACCCCAAGATCTTCGGGGTCTTGTCTTACGACGAACCAGCCACAAACTATGTGAATTTTTATTTCGTCAATGGGGGGCTTATACTTCCTCAGTTCGGCGATAGCCGGCGAGATCAAGAGGCCCTAGTGCTGTTTCAAAAGCTGTGCCCTGATCGCGTGGTTCGGCCAGTGTTTTTGTCTGCGCTTCCATTGGCTGGGGGCGTGATTCACTGCGCAACCCAACCAGTACTTTTCGTGGGTGAATGAGCATTCATGGGCATTGTGAAATAATGAAATAACATCACAAATTCAAAATACACTGGATGATCAACAAGACGATCAACAAGATCAACAAATTTTCGATTCCCAAAGAGGAAGTTCGTATGCGGATCAACCGGCTATGGGGTAATCCTGGGGAGAGCGGGGAAATCGCCGATCTGACCGGGTCACCTCGCGAATTCATAAACTCCAACATCAATCTGAAAACCAAGCGGACTGGTACCAAACTACTCCTTGTGCTCCGTTCCTGTTACCACTCACGCATTCGCGCTAAGAAGATGGCAAAGGCCTGCAACCACTCCAACTTGAACGAAGAAGAGAGAGAGACATGTACTGCAGGTGCTAGTCCGACATGCATCAGATGTAGCCGTCTCAAGATTGGCTCCACCGCTCGTCGTACTAAGCGCGCGAGATACCTCTCTTCTTCCGAAGACTTCCCCCATGGGGATTTGCGGGTTTCTACCATCGTGTCGCGACATCGCGCTCAGTCCAAGGAAAGCGAGAGCCATGCCTCATCTTCCTCACTTAGTGAATGTTCATCTTTGAGCTCGCCTACCAGAGATGACGAAGTTTGGTCGCCGGAAAGTCCCGATGTGATGATAATATCACCAGAGAAATTACTGGCCGCCCCCACCAACTTCCAAACGACGTCAGACGCTTTACGCACTGTTATGAACGTGGAGCAATTCTCCGTCATACATGCACCATTCGTCTTTGGAGAAAGCTTTATTCCGACATCCCAAAAGACCATTTATGTTATTCTGCAATTATCCGCCCCGATCCTAACCGAAGGATACCTGGCATTCCTCGGGCTGATGACAAACTACCAAAAGTCCCCTGTTATACGCCGGAATGAACCCGATATGTTCATGGCTGCGAAAGGACTGCAACGTCTGAGAAGTGTGAAAATCTCACACGATTACGACGCAGCTTGCGCTCTCTTCCTGGGTCAGACTATGTATGTCTTCAATATACTCACGGCACCGTATTCCTGTACAGCGCACTCTATCGTTCGGAGCTCCCTCATGTCAGCCAAACCATGGCTTCCCAGATTGATGCATACCCCTATAATGGACACAATAACCATGTCCCCGATTTTGATCGACACGGTCGAGTGTTTAGTCCACCGTGAGATCCCTATAATACGACTCGATCCCCAGCCTCGCCTCATCGTCGACCGCTATCTTGGCCTCTGCGCAACACTTCTCCCTCATCTCTATGACATCTGCGAGTGCAGTAATACCTTGAAGAGAGAAGCTCCCGCTGCTAGATCCGAATCATACTCAGCCCTTCACGACCGACTGGATGAATTAGAAGAGTTGATCCGACGCTGGCGGCCTCAGACCCCTTCTGGACTGTTCGACAGTTACGGCCAGCATGCAGTTCTAGCAATGGTGACGCACGCAAATCTATATCGCCTAGCAGCTTTATTGATCATCCACCGGTTGCGATATCCGCTGGGAGTCGAAGATGAGGCAGCATGGAAACTTGCAAATGGGATATTTTCTGAATTGTCATTTTTTGCAAAGTCGGCGATCAATGTAAAGGGATCCACCGCGCTCCCTCTGGTGTTTCCTTTGACGATGGCTATGTTTGAGATACATGGGCCCGGAGAAGATCTGATAGATCGCTTGGCCTTGGCCTCATTCACGGTCCAAAGTGCATGTTTGTCCCGGCTTCAGGACTTTGTCCAGTTGGCTAGGGCATCGAGAGAGTCTGGATATGAGGGCATTTGGTTTGAATTGGTTGATAAACATCTTCATGTTGCGGTACCACCATAGCGTTGAGTTGGTCGCAGCAACAGTGCTTTTATGTATAGTATTATTTTAGGGCTGGTGGCTCCGTTTCATCTTGTTGTCAGTTTTTCTGTTGCTTCAGTGAACAATAGTCATTATATACGCTGAAGTTGTGAATACAGCAATACTTGTTCGAGACCAAATGCTATCAGTTCCACAATATCTTACAGTTTTCTGGGGTTTTCATTGGGATTTTAGAGAATTTATGTGTACATACCTCAGGTCAAAATTCCCCGGCTACAGCTCAGCGCGGCTTCGAGTTAGTCGACAATTTATTGAGCGAAATTAGTCAACATGAAAAGGATGCCGGGCTTTCTGTCTTCTGTCTATTGAATACATGGAATCATTAAGCTAACTGTCATCCAACCATGAAAATGCCCTCGATTTAGATTCCCCACCTAGCTACCTTCGAATCCCTCCATATTGAAACCCAAGTTGATCTTGTGATAGGTTGACACCCAAGATTCGATCAGCTTCCAGTAGTTGGGTTGTCCACAAAGTAGCATAAGTCGGGCCTTCATTAATTGGATGGTTCAGTGGAAGACTGAGGAATGCGTTCTGATTGATCTGGCACTATTCCTCTCAAAACCTCCCACTCATGCTCCAACATGGACAAAATGACAACATCATGCCAAGCGCGGCGATAGTATGCAGCTTCACGTTCACGGCCTTCATCCACAAATCCAAGCTTTCTGTAAAGCTTCAAAGCATTGTGGTTGAACGAAAATGCGCTTATGGAGACTCTGTGCAGTCCAAGATGCTGAAACGCCCAGTCCAGCATCCAATTGATAGCTTCTCCACCGTATCCTTTCCCCCGAAACCCGTCCGCAAGTGAGATTCCTATCGTCGCACTGCGATGATGGGCCTCATTGGGGCCATTGACGTTGAAAAGACTCATGTGGCCAATTCGAACTAACTTGTAATCTTGAGCAGGCCCAAACAAGGTTGGAATCTCAGATGGGGGAGTATTTCCTGCTTCGGTGGAATTTTGAGGAGGGAGACATATGACCACTCCTAGAATGGCGTCTTGGAGCATTTTGATGAATTCTCCGGCAGAAGTTTTGGGACACGGGCGTGGGAGACGTCCAGTACTCATTGTTTGGATTGTAGGGTCGTTCATAAGATCGTGGAAAAAGACCAGGTCCGCTTCAGCGTTCTCTGGGGCTCGGTAGACGAGCCGACTAGACTTGGAAAGGTCCCCGGGGGCTTGAGTTGATGCCATGTTGGAAAATTAGAGATAAGTGTCGGAATGCAGAGTCTGTTTACTTAGGGATTATCGATAGCTTTATAAAGATGAGTGGGACATATCCTGCTCACTGTTAACCAATCAGCGTGCAACGTTCACGCCCCAGTCAGCGCTATCAGCCTCCATAGTTGGGGCTATCCCCTGGAGGGTAATCTCGGGCTCCCGATTAGGTCGGGTATTGCAGCGAGACAGTTGTGTGACTCACTATATGTATGTAGGATAGCAGGGAACGGCTAATATGATGAAGAATATAATTGGTAAAAGAAGCCTAAGGCACCGACATTACTACCATTTATATGTCCTTTACCCTTTCCCTACCTATTGGATTAAAAGAAAGAAAGCGTAGAAATAGATACACGCTGGAATATAAATTTTGATATATACTTCTACTATATGACCTTAACACTCCTTTTACCCTCTTCTCTCTTTTTATGTTGTAGACATTTTATCAACTATCAAGGGAAGAAATAATTCTTTACAACATCCTGTCTTGGTGGTAGATAATTTAGGTACAGGCTTATAAATAGAATCCTATATGGATGACGCACTTGCAGTAAAAATATCCGCAATGGTTAATTTTGTAGTATATCGCCATTGCAGGAAAGGAAATAAATCACAAAAACATAGGCTGGGATATGTATTCATCTATAATGACATTACCAAACTGTGTTTGCTTTCCTGGAATACTCGCCTTCCATGTTTCTTTTTTCCTTTCCCTTTCTCTTCTAAGACACGCTTTTCCATGCAACTCCGAATGCACTCAGACCTTGCAGCTTCTTTTCAACAGTCTAGTTAGTATCTACTTTTCCATTCTTAGGCGCATCCATGGACGATCTTTGACCTACTCTAACATTGTACTATATTAGATACCATCATGTCTTTGAGTAGCATGCCGTTGGAGGTTATTATTCTCATTGCCAAATGGCTCGATAAAAAGAGCCTAGCCAGTCTTGCTGTCTGTAACAGCCAGCTTCGTGCATTCGTCACACCTGTTCTCTACTCTTCTATCAAAATAGGATATCCATGGCAGTTTCCCTATAAGTCCGAAAATACGACGCCCTCAAGGGCCCTCGACGAAGAATATGCAAAGGCAAAGCTGGTGCAACATAATCGCATGGTATGGCTCCCGCAATAACTTTATTGGCAGATTGCTAATGCTAAGTAAAAAGCTACAATCCTCGACCTTTTCGATCCTTCGAACTCCGGCCCTTGCAAAGCTCTTCCGTCGTGTTGATATCACTGACTGGACTCTCCGGTCCATGTGGCAATATAAGGTGTCGGGTACTCAATTCCCCTTCACACAGGACGGATTTAGGTTCACAGTCAATTTAAAATCGATGATATTCACCCCAGTAATCTGAAATTACTCTCAGATGCCGCAAAACATCTTCCACTACTACAGCATCATGTGAGAGGCTGGAATAGAGGTCAAAGACCTACCTCTGATGCTGTGCTTGTCACTCTTCTCGCTTCACTTCCCAGACTGAACCGACTTGAGATCTCACTTGCAACTATCTTGTATGGGTATTACGTTATGGAACTCTTTCAACAAGCCAGCAATCAAAACACCTCTGGTCAAATTGCGCTTTTGGGAAATTTGACACATTTGGATATTGAAAGTGGGACATACATGAACGTGCAAAGCGTGTTGTATTCTCGCTACGGCGTCATTAAGAGATTGATTCAGCTCCCATCGATAACCCACCTTACCGTCTGTGGCTGGGGAATTGTGATCAGCGCCCCGGAGCTGAATCATAAATTCACGTCCGGTCTTGTTCATCTAGAGCTTCGCAGAAGCGGAGTTGACTACGATACTTTTAAGCGCCTCCTTCGAAGCTGTAGGTCATTGAAGACTTTGATTTATGAGTCTTGATTGGTGCTGGTAATCTCACGAGCGCTCAAACACGCGTCCAAATCGCTTCAAAGCCTGTGGCTTGAAGCTACAGGATTCATTCTGCCACTTGACCTCGCTAGGCTTCCTTTGACTACTTTGTACATTTTACCGGGATTTCTCGTCAAACTTGGCCATGCCAGGGCATATGCTGGATTGGGATGGGATATGGATGTCTTCAACAACATCGAAGTACCACTAACTTCTCGACTCCCGAGGGTCATTGGAGGTGCCCCACATTCTCCAACCTCCAAGAAAGAGAGATATTGGCTATGCTCTTGGCCCACTGTGTGACCTTATCCGAAATCGCACATCTTACTTCCCCGAATTGCGAGAAATTCGAATTGAAGTTCCAAATGGACAAGATATTTCCGATTTGGAGAGAGAAGCAGACGCTTGTGAATTTAGACACCAGAAGTTCGGTGGTGGATATCAGCGTGTTCTTCTATGAAACCCCGGCGAGAGACCGTATCAGTTCGAAGAACAGACTGTGGCGCTGGAGCAGGGGCTCAAAAGATTTGAGCCATCAAATGCTCATAGATGGTATTTTGTTTATGATGAGTCAAGTGTCTAGGTGGCCGCATGAGCCTGGAGATCATTAAATCGAATGTCATTATGTACCTGAGTAACAAAACATGGAAATGGTCGTAACAAGAATGCTCAAATACGTAAATGCTATAAACAATATAAGTCAGCTCAAATCAATCTCGATGCGACCCACGATCCTTCTCCCAAAACCAATGATAAAGGCTCTTCCACTCGGCCGCTTCATCCTCAACATAATCACCGACCAGCTCAGCGGTCTCATTGACTTCATCAGAAAACGATGAAATGTGAGCCTTCAGACCCGAAGAAGCATCAATGCCAGTATGCGCACTCCCAGAAGCATCAGCAGCGTTACCACCAGAACCAGCGTTCAGCAGCTCTTCCGCGCCCTCCTTTGCTCTCTCTGCTAGGTCACGCGCTCCTTCACGTGCGATCTCTGTATACTCCGATGCCTGTTCGCGGGCACGCTGGATAAGTTCGTCTGGTGTAGGATAGCGACGTCCCAGCAGTAGGAGGAGGTAATAGCTCTTGACTATGAAGGCGTACACTGCGTCCTTTGCGAGCATTGTAAAGCCGTGCGAGAAGAAACCTCTTAGCACTTCACCATGAAGACCCGCGTAGAGTCCTATTATACCATCTGTGCGGGCGATGGCGGCGACATTGGAAAGTATTTCAGGGGTGAGAGAGGCGAGAAGGGAGGACCGAGCCTTCTCTGCAGTTCCAGACTTAGACTTAGAGTCCGAGCTCATTACTTGAGCTCTTGTTTTCGCGAGGGAGAAAGGGTATGTGATTGACGAGGCGGCAACTTTGCTTAGAGCCGCCAAAAGGAATGTCAAAGCTGCAGGGGGTTTATCGCGCTTCGAACGTGGAAGAAGAGTCCGTTTGAGGAATTCATTGAGGAAGAACGTGAGCGATGGATTCAGGGTGAGTATCAGGGTGGCCGAGTATCCAGACCAAAAGCCTAAGATACCCTTCTCAGCGCGGATACGAGCTGCGATATCACTCGTTGACAAGTTTGTCGCATTCCCGCCCTTGCGTGCCGCTGATGTCTGCTTGCGCGCAACGATATTCGACAGCGGCGTAGTGAATAACTTGGCAAATGAGCCAGCTAAGACACCAACGGCAAGTTCGTCCAGTATTGGGAGGACAATATTTTTGCTCTTGGCAGCTCGCTCTACACCTACATGCGCGACTATCCTCTTCTGGCGGATGGCACTATAAGCAAGAAAGAAAAGGAACGAATCCGCGACCGTCTTCCATGTATCCTGCGCTAGACCGGGGTAGAAGCCAGCGATGCCTTGCTGGGCATATATCTTGCGAGCAGCATCCACCACACTGGTATAATTTTCGTCGGCATTCTCGTCTTCGTCTGATTTTTCGCTCGAGTCGCTGTCTTTTTGCTTCTGGGTTTGTAGACGGGCGACGATGACATTGAGAGGGTAGACGACCACATTGGAGATGGCTGCGCCGACTGCACCGGCAGTTGCATTTCCTAGGGCGGGGAGGGCTGGGCCACGGAGAGCGGCAGATTTCCAGTCGCGCGGGTCATGGGCTTCGTAGCGGTAGGAGGGGTGATAGACGTCCTTAATTGCATGAGCATGTTAGTACGGTATGATGCAGGGTAGGGACGTGGGTGAAGATTTGCGAGGAGATAGAAGCAGGCTGGTCTTCAGAACACACCAGTTGAGACTCATAGGATAGCTTGAATTCAGTCATGGTTCTGCTTGGGCGAAATCCAGTTCGGGGGAATTGATGTTATGCTCAGGATTGGGCCCCTCAACCTCTGATATCCGTTTCAGACAAAATGTGCATGAGTGAGATATTTCCAAATGGGTTGAAATGATAATAATTATAGACTAGTGGGAAGGATTCTCAATCAACTACGAACGTGACCTCTTTGGATTAAGGCCGAGGTCCATCCCCGGGGCCATGTGGAGGGATTACGTCATGTAGATCATATGGTCCGTGCACGTATCAGGCTACAAGGCAGTCAATTCCTACATACACTGGTACTCAGTACATACAAATAGGAAGGGAATCCTTCCCAACAGATTTCACCTCTTGATCTCTCATCTAAATACCAGTATTCACCACTTTCTGGGATTCATCCGTCTGATCTCCGATTGAAACATTCACTGGAGGTCGAAATTCAGTTCCCCTCGCTGAGTGAAAGGATGCTCCCACTGGATCTCGCCGTCAAACCCCCAGTCAATCTTTTTGTCTGGGCATGATCCTCTTTTCTCGCCTGTCATCCAGGATCGCACATAATCGGCGGAGTTCTCGATTGTTGTCAACTTCACTCCAACGTGGTTTGTGATTTGGGAGAGTGCGTTAAAAAAGTACACACCCTTGTCCTCAAAAGGGGCCTCAATTATGATCTCCTTGAGGTGTTGGAAATGGGGAGGCTCCGATGAAATGGGCAACCCTCGACTGTAAAGACTTTCGCGCAGCTTCTCAGACATGAGGAGGAACTCAAGACCATCACGGATTTGGAAGATGTGCAGCTCCTCAAGTGATTGGGGAAGTAGCTCGTGCAAAGGCATTGCACTGTTGTAGACTCCATCCTGGTCATAGAGCCGTAAGTAGCGACCTTGAAATGATGAGATTTTCTGTTCAGTCTGAACAAGATAGCCGGCCGAAATCCGTAGTCTCTTCAGATGAACAAGCCCCGAGAGGTCGACAGGCTGAAGATACAAGTCCTCGTATATCCTTCGGCCACTTTGATTGAATGATAATTCAAGACAGGTCAGGGTCTTGTATATGTATTGAAGCGCCTTGCTGAGGTCTTGGACTTTCAAGACCCAATACTTCTCCTTTGTCCATCCGCGTTCGTAGATGAAGGTTTCCAACTTGTTGGTTTGTTTGAGGAGCTTTTCAAGACACTGGGCATCAAAGGTGCAGTCACGAAGCTCGAGGTGAATGAGGCGATCGGCATTTTGAAATTCAGGTCTCAGCCACCGTCGTGCGTTGGTCCATTGGGTACCGAATGCATGGGTCAAGGTGGGAATTTGAAGAAGTACCATAAGCATATCAATGTCAGCCAAGGGCCGTGTTCCTTCAACTTCGGCTTTCAGGTGAGTGAGCTGAGACAGCATAGGTGTGGAAAAACTTGGAATGTCATTTTCATCCATGTAGATGGGTTGTGCACCGACGATACCGATCAAGACTCGTTCGACCAGATTCCACTCTGTAACTGGAGGGTCGCTATATGGGTCCTCACTCTCCATCTTGATCTCGAGACGTTTTAGGTTAGGCAGATAGCCCAGAAGAACAGCCAGCAATGCATCTGAACGGGGTAAATCAGGCTCAAGCGCTCTGTGCAATGCGGCCCTGACTGTTGGATACAATGGTAAACTCATACCGGCATCCATGATCATTTTATGGTCTTGTGAAAGCAGGGGTTGAATAATGAGCTGTTCTCTATCCGGGTGGGTATGAATATGCCTGTGCGTGTAGCAAAGGTCGTGCAGGTCAGTCAAATCGAGAGATTTCACGAGTGCCGCAATGTGGTGGTTGCGGAGGATCGTAAGAAGAAAGCATTCAATCTGTATATTGAGCATCAGAAAGTGAAAGAAATTCTGCGAAGAGAGGAGACTTACGGAACGACGATCTGCGGGCCATGCCAAACCGGGCCAAATCCGGTAATTAGGAGGAGCTCCTAAAGATACATGGGCGTACAGTTCAGGCATGGCCATGAGATACAACTGTCTGTTGCAGGTAGCCACATGCCTGAGTGTCAAGGTGTCACCATCAAGGTATTTAACAATGATAACCTTGATTTCTGCCGGGAGGTCTTGAAACCCCGTCTCTCGTCTAGGAGGGGTAGGAGGGGCTCGATCAAAGAGAGGAAGAAGAGAGATGGGCATAAGCAATGACATGTTTGATAAATCTGATCTCTGACTTTAGGCAGTGCAAGAAGAAAGAAAAGTTAGGGATGGATGAAGAAGAAAGATGAGAGGTTGGAAGGGACAAGATTTTATGCGCAACCTGTCTCATCCATATACCAGTCGCTTAGTCGCCATGACGATTGCTTAGTCGTCTCGGCGATTACTTACATCGTCAAACTCTTCCAAGTTAGTTGCGGGCATTGAGCAAATACAGTGCTACTTGGGCATGAAATCTAGACAACGCACTAATTCGGCCTAGCGATGGCAGGATTCAAAGAGGTCTGCTGTATTAGATTCATAGTATGGGCCGACATTTAGTTATCTCGGGTGGTTATGAATATAGGTCTTACTATTAGAACAGTCAAATACATTCTTTGATAATAAGTCTCATGCGAAATACTGGCATTCAACCTTCAACAAGTACCGACCTGTAATAGATTGTAGGGACAACTTTCATCCTCAAGATCATTGAAGATGAACCACTTCCCAACCTCACTCTCTTCACATCGTATGTACCAAATCCACGCACAGTTTCTAGATTCCAAGATCTAACGCAGTGTTTGTAGCTACCACGGATGACCTAGGGGTGGTTGAGTTCGGACGAACGAGGCCCCAGCCTTGGGTTGGCCCAGTGCAGTATGCGGCTCCCATCTGCAATTCTGTCGTGCAAGAATCGGCTGATAGTGATGGATTCACAGCCAGAAATAAGGAAAATTCAATGCCACCCTGTACACAGATTGCTGTGCAGGTGTCCTGATCGCGGGCAACGTGCCAACGCCCACAACTCATTGTTGTCCCATTAGCCACTGTGCTATTAGCAGGTGGGGCAATATCCTGATCTGTAAACCCAGTATCTGAGCCTGGTAGTGATGTAACACCCGGTGGGGGCGCCATGTGCGTGTGGGTACCGGCCTGTGGCGACACGCAAAGAACATGCCCGTAGTTCACACTCCATTCTTGAAGATTGGTGCAGCCGCCATCAATCCAAGGATTTAATCGACGGATCACCCCACTATCCATGCCAAAGCTATCCTCAATTGTCGCACATGTGGCATTCGCAGGGTAGGTATAGACATTGTCACACGAAAATGGTAGACATATAGACAGCCCGGGTCTGATATCGGTGCAATCGATGATCTCTGGACTGCCGATGAAAAGCGCGGCGGAGGAAATAGTGTGCGTAACAGCAATGGAGTCACATGTATCCCCCTGGATAGTAGTGTAAACGATGTCAGAGGCGCAAAAGTCGTTGGGGTCATCGCTACGGTCTTCAACAGGTTTTGCGATATCTGTTGCCCCGGTCAAACCACACCTCTCCTGGGTCAGATTCAATAGCCTCTGATAGCTCTGGTCATAAAAGGAATATGGAGATTGTTGAGCCATTTGCAGAACGGTTGTATAGCAGTAGGAACACAACTCCGAGTCAAGCATTTCCTCCGCATGTTTGACAGGTGAGAATCCCGCGATTACATCTGCGATGAGAAAGAATGAGTAACTATTGAAACCAGTTATATAAACTCCGTGGCTCACCGCTGCAATATTCGCCCCCCTGGGGGCTCTGGAGACATGTCTGGTTCCATCCAGCCCAAAGAATACCGCCGCGAAAGTTCATCACATCCTCCTTGGTATCGAATTCTTTGCAGTGGGTGGTAACCTCTTCATACCACGATTGGATCGAATCTTTACATCCACGGCTGCAGACCATACTGGCGATAGTCTTGTTTGTATACGACTGTGGCCAGCCTCGCCCGAGAAATGCGTAGGTCTCATCGGGGCAATTGATCAATCTTGTCATTGCCGTTTGGCATGTGTTAGACAGTCTGTTGAGCAGAGCATTATTCCGTGATTTGCTATAAAGATAATAGCCCGTGAAATTGCGCTGGCCCACGATATCGGTTGGCTCGCGGTACCATCCTAGCAAGGAAGAAGTGTATCCATTCTTGGTATCTTTGGCCCACACAGGAGTCTCGCCATATGTATGCAGATGCACCTTGAGTGATATGCATTAACATTGAAGCCGCGATACAATTCTTGTTCAGCGTCGAGGCCCTTTTAGGACAATCCTTAGCTTGGAGCATGGAGCCCTTTGCTCCACCGACACGGAAATGGGAATCTGAAAACCAAGTGGTTAGAGTGTAAACAGAGGTGATAAATAAAAAATCGGATCACTTACCCCATAAGCCCGCTGAACCTTGAGTCGACTCGTGTATGTTCCATTCCACAAGAATGGCACCGGCCGTGGGTCCTGAGACAGTAAATAATAGTTCTTGGATTTCGACGATTCCCTCATCTCCATGGTCGCCGATTTTGACGGCTACATGGGGCTTCTCAATATCTTCGAACTTTGCCCCAGTGGCCATAATCTGCGACCACGCCTGACCCATGATCCGGGATCCTTCTGGGACCTTTAGTGTGTCTTTGATAATATACACACCGTAAGGGATAAAGACTATCGACGAGAGATTAGCGGCAGTAGAGAGAACACTGTTCAATGCATCCGTGTCATCTGTGACCCCGTCACCCTTGGCACCATATGCCTTTACATCAATGACTTGGCTTCCACCGAGATCATAGTATTGAGGTCGGCGACGCGTGAACAAATTCGGTTTCACATATTTGTTGCTACCAACCAGAGCTTCCGGGCGCTTCATAACCGGAAGATCATTCTCCTGGGCGAAAAAGACTCCACTGGCATTACCATAAAGGCCAAATCCCCAAGCATCAATCAGAACTTCGTTTCCACCAGCAAGAATTGGATCTGAAAATCTCTCGGCGATTATTGCCTTCTGAACGTTGAAGAAACCAACGTTCTGGAGAAGGAATTCTGTGGAGTTTTGCCCGTATAGGGAAGTCATTATTCCAGTCGGTGTGTTGGCAATTATTGCATCCACCAGAATTAAGGACCCGACCCCTTGTCCAGTGCTAAAAGAGCCACCGGCCTAGAAATACCAATAGTTAGAGACATCAGTAAGCCCGTTGAATTGAGGTAGGGTTCATGGCTAGACTGACCCCACCGGTAAGGAGGATACCCGTTCCACAGCTTTCAATGACAACGTCTTGCATCGTCCACGCCCAGTCCCAGTGGACCTGCATGGCAGTTTTGCATTGAACAAATACCAACTGACTCGTGGTGAACTGTTGGTTTCCCAAGTATGCACTGCCCTTTGTTGTCAGCTTTCTGGAGAAAGTTTGACACACCAAGTAGAAATCGGAATGAAGCCATACCCAAAATTTCCCCCGACGAAAGTCAGATTAGCCATAAAACCACCACTCCCATTCTCCATGTAGATACCCTAGAAACGAATTAGATCTACCCACAGGCGGTTTCAGCAAGGGGAAGCTCACTTGTTGGGTGTTACCAGCTGCTCGAGACATGTAAAAGTCAATATTTTCTAGGGATGTGCCTTGTGCAACCTGCCAATGGATGGCGCAGACGTAGGCATTAGGGTCAGTCCTTGTTATATCCATTTTGAAATTTCGCACACTGCGAAGGAAATTATTCGTGTTGATGTACCTATTACCATCGTCAGGGTTATATATTTGAAGGTGTAACCCGATCAAAGCATAAATAGCTTCAATTAGGCTTGTTTCACGTACCATTCATCTTGATCACCAACGTAAACATCCGACGTGATGACACCTAGTCCAACAAAGCTTGCAGCTGCGAGAATTGTAGGATAGTCGCCCGGCTGATAATTGATTAGACATGAGTAGTAAGATTAATGATTTGAATAGGCCGTGGAGCTCAGTACATACATCTCCGAGGAACTGAGTGTTGTAGTATTGGATGATAGGACTGCTAACAAGATAAGATCCACGTGGGAAAAACACCACAGCGGGATAAACCGTGCTAGAGCTGCAGTCAGCACCACATCGATTGCCATCGGCGATTGCTGTGTTGATGGCGGCTAAATAATTCCCAAAATTAGCTCAGGCCAAAATTTTAGAAACAATGCCTCCTCTCAATCAAATGAGCTGTCGCACCTGTATCATCCGTCACACCATCGCCTATTCAGCCGTCAGCTTATAGTGGTCAAGGGAACTAAAATAAAAGGTCTACTCACCCTTCGCACCGTAGTCTTTAACATTTCTGAAGACCTTGTACCCAGTGGGTGCGTATGGACTGGCACCTCGCTGCTCCAAGTTTGCCATCCAATAGTCGGACGATGAAGCTCTTTTCAACAGTTTCCCGTCGTTTTCAACGGTAGTCCGATTTGCAAGTGGCATTTCATCTGCCCAAGTCACAGCATATTCCGAAAGACCATCTGAATGCCGATGGGCTTGTTGAGGAGTGTTGGTGTCATTTGATTCTGCAAAGTATTTCATCCTCACGTTCATTGCCAAATCTGCCTCTTCTCCAGTCGATGGAGTAGGAGGTTGAGATTCAGCTAGAATTCTAGCTGCCTGGGCTAGTTCTGGAGAGATACTGTACACCAATCTGCGGGTAGAGTTTCCCTCATGGTCGTCTCTCTTCTCGTGGCTAGAAATATTTGGTAAGCTCTGTGTGACATTTGAACCATAATTCAACGGTGGAGCATTGATCTTTTGGCCAACAATCTGGTGTGCGTCCGCAAACTCATATCTGTTGTAAGTGATGTTTTCGTAACGCTCTTTGTTGATCACTGCCAGTTTTCCTAGAGCTTGCGAGACTAGTTCGGCGGAATCATTCACAGCTACCGGAGTCCCGCTATATTCTATTCGAGTAGAGGTTGCCCCAACGCTGATTTCAATCGGTGTCGGATTGTTATTCCCGCCCCGATGGAAGTGGTGGTGAAGGTGTGCATGGCCATGGTGATTGCTGTGACCTTCAGCAACTACCAATCTGCTCACCTGAAGGATTATGGCCACAGAGAAACCCAAGTATCGCATCGTTACCCACTCCGTAGACCTTCTCGCTAGTTGGAGGCTTTCTTATGCAAATAGCAAATTGTACAAACAACTTACTTGTATTCGAAGATGAGAATGCTTCCCTCGATGTCTGATAGAATGAAAGATCATTTTAGTATGCCGCACATGATTTTCCGAATTCAGTCTAGTAGTTCTTGCTCCAAAGGGTTCGGGGCTTCGCGCGATTCTACTTGGTGGAGATTGGGTGGCGCGTATTGACCGCTACAGCTCTTGGCAGAGTCCCAAGGTTGCATCCTTGGCATCGATCCGGCGCCTTGGCAAGTACATACGAAGTACATGTATCCAAATACGGGAACAGCCTGGCGAACTAGCTCAACGCTGAGAATGTTGTGGAAATTGCAGATACCTTGTGAGGCTAGTAAAGCTCTCATCTGTTGTTGGTTTGTTTATCTTGGTCAAGAGGATCCGGCATGCAAATAACCTTGAAGCTGATTGGGTAGGGGTTTCGGGAGTAGCCGCTCTCGAACCCGTGGGCTCATGGAGCACGAGTACCTAGGTATGTATCGCAATCTATCCATGGGGACGATCGTCTTAGTACTTTGTATTAGCTATTATTCTCAGCAAAATATCAGCTGTTTACCTACGGAGTACTCCGCACCTAGGGTCTTTCAGCTGGGCTAGGGCTTCGGTCAATCTTGGAATTGAGTGTCGGGATTTGGCACGTTTGTTTGATATATGCTTCCAATTTTGGAAGGACTCCAATTATATCTGGAGACTTTAAGCAGCATTATCATCGATGAAAAGGTCACAGAAACATTGGTCCTCTATAACTTGGTTTCCTACAGCGTTGTGAATGTCCAAATTTTACAAGTTTATGGATGCGAACCTCGGAACTTTCCATTGGTAGACTAAAGCCTCCGGTTGGCCGAGATGCAGTTGATGAACATATCGTATGTTTTATTGGGGGCTTGGCAGAGCTAGTCACTCATCCGATGGAGCCGCCGAGCCCTAACTATAGCAGAACACTGATTTTGCCGTTGTACGGAGTTGACCGGAGCCCGTCTGCAAGTTATTATTTACAAGTACACTGGGTGCAATGTAACGCTCCTTGTGAGGCCCGAGTCCCAAAAATGTAAGCCTTCCAACTAATGAAGCTAGAGCTTCGCGGATAGCAGGCAATAATAGGGGCCGGCGGTACATTTGCAGCTAGTCGAAATTAGACTAATCTCAATATACAGGGTTGAAATGAAACCAGTGGTAATTTTTGTATTTGGCCGATAATGAATGATATGGCTTTCAGTTTAAAAGAGGCATCGAGCATATTCGTAAAGCACTCAAGGAAAAAGTCCACGCTCAAGATAAGAGACACCAGTTTGTCGGTAACATGTCGAGACAGCGCTGGGTACTTACCCACACGACTTTCACTTTTGTATTTTTGTGCCTTCTGATAGGCACTGCCCTATCAGAGGGATGCAGTAAGAGTAACCCATGTTCTACGGGCTGTTGGTGAGTTCGCTATTCAAAATTTGAGGAGAGCAAAGCTGATAATGTGCTTTGAAAGTTCTAAAGATGGTTTCTGTGGCACAACAGAGGAACATTGCGGTGCAGGATGTGTTGATACTTGTGACTACAAGCTAGGCTGCGATGCATCAAACCCTTGTCCAAGTGGGTGTTGGTAAGTTAAAAGAAAATTCTCATATGCTCAGATGCTTTTCGATGGCCAATACTGACGACAGAAATTTTGAAGTAATAAATTTGGGATTTGTGGACTTGGTCCCAATTTCTGCGGAGATAGTTGTGTTGCCGGGTGCGACTCCAAAGCTGAATGCGACCCGGGTGACTATGGGTTAAAGTTCTCGAACGCGAAGAATTGTCCCTTGAATGTGTGCTGTTCGAAGTTTGTGAGTATTCAATTATTGGGTTGCTATAGCCGATCTAACAAGATGTCATTCTCACTAGGGTTTCTGTGGCGTAACCGAAGAATTTGCAAGTGCTCCTGGTCAAACGGTTTCTCTCTTCGATGTCTTCGCTAACAGCTTATCTCGAAATAGTGTGGAAATAAAACTGTCGACCGAGGGCACTGTTCTGAGAGCGGCCGACTCGATCGAGTCGTTGGATACTTCGAAGGCTGGGCATCCCGGAGACCATGCAACAGGTTCTGGCCCGAAAATATTCCAGGCGGCGTATATAGCCACATCAACTTTGCTTTCGCAACCATTGATCCGGAAACCTTCGAAGTCAAACCAGCCGATGAGCGAGATGTCGAGCTGTACACCCGGGTGACCGACTTGAAAAAGGGCGATCCAAACTTGGAAGTCTTTATCGCAATAGGGGGTTGGACATTCAACGATCCAGGCCCGACACAGACAGTCTTTTCCGACATTGCTAGATCTGTGGCGAATCAGAAAAAGTTCATCAATTCCCTAGTATCATTCATGTCCACCTACGATTTTGATGGAATGGACCTGGATTGGGAATACCCTGAGGCAACCGACCGCAATGGCCGTCCTGAGGATTTCAAAAATTTCCCTAAGTTTATTGCAAACCTGAGAAAGGCTCTAGATCACACAGGTGGTCGAAATGGGATTTCAATCACTCTCCCGGCGTCATACTGGTACTTACAACACTTCGATGTCAAGGCTCTGGCAAAGTCAGTCAGCTTCTTTAATATAATGTCCTACGATCTCCACGGCACCTGGGACTTAGGGAATAAATGGACCGGGGGATATCTAAATGCGCATACAAATCTCACAGAGATTGACCTCGCTTTAGATCTACTCTGGAGAAATGACATTCAAAAAGGCATGGTTGTCATGGGGCTAGCCTTCTACGGTCGGACATACACCATCGATCCTTCCTGCACAGATCCCGGATACATCTATCTATCTGGTGGTATCAAAGGAGCTTGCAGTCGAGAGGTCGGAGTCTTGCTTAACAATGAGATAGACCAGATCCGCGAAGCTAAAGGAGGTAAGCCCACTTTGGATCGGGATGCTACCGTGAAAATATACACTTGGGATAACCAGTGGGTTTCCTACGATGATGTCGATACATTCAAACTGAAAACGAACTTTGCCCGAAAACGATGCCTTGGTGGTGTCATGGTCTGGGCAATCAGCCATGACACCAAAAACGCGACTTACTCCAAAGCGTTGGGCACCGTCACTGGATACATTGGTAACATCCAATATGACTATGACTCTGGCAAAGTCACAGAGAAAAATCATCACGACCAATGCCATTGGACAAATTGTGGCATACCATGTCCTGCCGGCTGGCATATGATCCAGCGTACCGATAAATGGAAAAACTACGACGGCGAACCGATGATAGATGCATCGGCATGTGGAGAGGGTCTCGGCTATCGATCATGGTGCTGTCCGCCGGGAAAGTCCCCTACCTGCGGTTGGTATGAATTCAATGATGGCATCTGTGACGGTGGATGCGCAAGTGACATGAAAGAAATCGGCTCTACAAGGTCGGGTTGTCGCCAGGACACTCATCAGACAGCGTGCTGCACCAGCGGTATACCCTCCATGGCGCTTTATGACAGTTGTGAATGGGGGGGTAGTCCTGCGTGTGAGTCCGGCGCATGTGCCGGCAAGGGGAGCACAATGCAAACAGAGCTTGGCAAGTCTGGGACTGGTAGTGGAGGAAATTTCTGTCAGGATCACACTGGCAAAAACAACGACTATTGGCCAAGTCTGCAGCTTGGTGAGCAGAAATACTGCTGTAATACGGAGAAAGAAGAAAAGAGATGGCAGAACTGTGAATGGGTCTACCATTTTGGATATATCGACAAGGATATGAGTTGTGTTGGCTTTTGTCCAGCAGGGAAAGTCAAGGTAGCTATGGATACTTATAATCACGGTTGCTATCAAAGTGGATATGGGACCTATTGTTGCGAATCAAGCTACTATACTGAGACAACGCGGTACTCTGACGAGGTGCAGTATTTCAAAAATGCCCTCAAGGCATGGGGAAACAATCCAACTTGCGCAGTCAAACCTGATTTGAAGCAAGGGCACATCGAGACTACAGCCCTGGCGACCATAGACAAAACTGAAACACCAGCCCAAAGGATTCGATCATTCATTCTAAGCATGGTGGTTGCGTACCATATGGAGCGGCTGGTAACGTCGGCTCGCTGTGTGAAGTGTGGGATACATATGTCAAGGGCAAAGGCTGGTCAAACCTCGCATGTGACGACTTATACGCGAACTTGCAGGATAATTCCGAGCACGAGGCTTATCTGGTTCAATACGGGAGCTACAATGTTTCACAATCGCTCACCTGTGATCCCGAGAATTGGAATGACTTGCTTCAAGGTGGCAATGAAGATGACATTGTCTGTGATTTCGACTCCTGTATTTCCGACCCATTTTTGTGCACAGAAGAAGGATTTGACAATCCTTATTTCACGCAAAATAGCAAACAAAGCATCCATCAGCATACCCAATGGGCAGACCAGGTAAGCTTACATTGAAAACTTTCATGGCCTTCAATCTAGAGAGAGACTCACCGCATTAAACTACTAAGGTCCCTCACCTATTGGGAAAGCGGACGCCCGAACATGAGGACTCTTTTCTCTGTGATGATGGCACGATCAAGGTTGTCATCAGATTTTGGAGACAGGCATATCCAAGCAGCGGAGAATGGCCCACTGCTAACACAATCTACGACGAAGCAATTGATAATGAGGACGTTGAATGCACAAATACTGAGACTAACGTTCAAACAATAGTCCTGGCAGACAACACAGACTACCATAGTAAGTGTGCTTCTTAGGACTCCTTTGTATCAATGTTAATTCACCGAGAACGTGTAGCTGAGCACATCATCGAGCTCCAATCCATGCCCCTTTTCTTCGCATGGCTTGTCAGTAATATCAAGTGCCAAATTGACTGCGACTTCTTCTTGAACTTTTTCAACAAGAATGTCCTGAGTGGAACTACCGCAATGCCGGGAGGTTACAACCCAGGCACTCCATCTCTGCGAATCATGGAGGCCCTTGGGAGCTGGACAAACGACAAAAAGTTCCGTTTGTTGCAAAGAAGGTTGAATGGCATGAAAGCCCAGGTGCGTCCTCAGTACGAGTTTTCCTTTTCCAGGGGACTTTCCAGGGGTTATCCGATATTTAATTGGTATTATCGCTAACTCAACATTAATTAAACAGCTGTGGCGTCTTGTTGCTCCTGTGGAGGAAAAGAAATGGGGCACTGCCGTTGGGAAGGCAGATCCAGCGGAGGCAATCACTGCAATCAAGAAGGTAAGGCCGTTTCGCCGTGGTGTGTGAGTATAATAATGAGCTAAGGCTTACAACATATCAGGTCATCTCCGTGTTCAATTATCTGAAAATAACGAAGTTTGGAGTCGATTGAAGGCCACCAATAAATTGATTCGACAGGAATTGAAATCTACGCAAGACGCTTATAACAAAGCTACTGGAAAAAATACCAAAATCTTGGACTGTTGGGATGAGTGGTTTGCCGAACATTTAAGCACAATTGTTGATCATGCGACTGATTGGCTCACGGATGCACTGGATGACATGGAGAATGAATGGAGTGGGAAGAAAGACAAACTTAAAGCCAAAGTGATACGGATTATCAAGGGTCTTCGTACCCAAGTGGGAAAGAAGGTCAAACTCGATCTCAATGACCTATATTAAATAGTGTTTCTATAATATCACGGTGCTAATTCAAATGACAAGTCTCTACATGAAGTAAAGCCTGTGAGAAGAATAAAGGCCAATCCGATGAAACAAATTCGTAGATGGATAGACTAGCATGGGATTAACCCGAAAGCCGATTAACTGGGGAGGTACCTCCGGTGCAACCTCTGGAGTTTCAAAAAGCTCGGGGGCAGTGAGAGGGATAGTAATGAAAGCTTTGGGCCTGCTGATAGATTTATTTGTTCGCTTTGCTTCCCCTAATAGAATATATATGAAGGGCGTCCATTTAAAGCCGCGTAGCCGTTTACCCATAGTGCTGCATCAAAAGTCTTCGTACCAGGGAATATCTTCAGAAATGGTGCACATTTGAGACATGGGTACCATATCTCCAAGACGCGCAAGCCGGAAGAGTCGGGAAAGAGGAATGCGCATGTAGCCTGCGTACTGACTGCTTTGCTCTTGTTCGTATTTAGGTTCGACAACCGTCACCCAGGGCTCACTTTCCTGCGTTGAATCTTGCTCTGATTGCCCAGCAAGAGACTTTTGATGACGGATAAAACACTTCAAGGCCTCTTCGTCAATAACCAGACACCAGCGGAACCGGTTACCAAGAGCTCCGACCTCGCTTTCCACAAAGGCCCTGAAATCCTCTCGGACTTGAGCAATGCTAGCCCCATCAAAGCGAGTCTCGTCATCAAACACGAGACTGCGGTACCCGTCGCGTAAGATTCGATGGGATTGCTCGTGCTGGCGTCGACCGTGGTGTAATTCCCAGTCAAGTGTAGCGAAGATATTAGATCGGATCGCATCAGCGGCAGCTTCCCAGTAAAGATCTGACTCTGGGGTATAGACAGTGCGATAAATAGTATATCCCCAAGGCCAACGAAGAGGGAGTTCATATGTCAAGAGTCCCGTGGCTTCACACGAGGCCCGTTTAAACCATGGTTGGATCTTGAGCTGGCGGACTCGCTGTTCATGTTCACGTTCCGTTTCCTCGGGCGGGAAATCTCCGGACGTAGATGACCATGGCGTGGTCCAGCTCTCGTGGTGAAACCACCAGGGAATCCGGACAGCGTCTCGATTTGGTGCCATGAGGATGAAAATTGAGAAGCTTGTAATCCAGAAATCGTGGGAAACACGAGTTAATGACAAGAGTACGCCAAGAAAACCAAAATTACTACGCTAATGATGTGGCTTGGGAAGCCGTGACTAAGTACGGAGCAAGCCTACCTAGGTAACTGGATCCTGATAATATTCCGGTCTTCTAGAAATCCCTTAGGTCAAGTAGGCAAATCTCTGATTTATTATCATTGTCGAATTTGAAGTCACGGTGATAACCTTAGAAGTCATTGCTTTCTATCAAAATGCTATGTAAGAAGCGATGTTAACATTTTTTACTATCATCAAGAGCCAGTAATGCTTGAGAGACAATCAAAATTCTATCATCACAATTTATGCAACCATGATCCTAACAGACATAGCGACATTTCACCAGCCTGGTTTTATACCTGATGGATGTGAACCGATCAAGATTTCCGAAAAAAAGATGGCAAAGATTTCAGCCGTAAGTTCATCCAGGCGTTCCAATAACACCCACACTCAGACCTAGCTTACTGGTTCTTCCTCTCATCCTCAGACTCCGCTGCCACAAAGGCACCGCGTAGCTCTTTCGCCGCCTCCCACAACACCCACAGAGGGATAAAGACCCAGAGAGTATTGAAGAAGAACAAGTACAGCCAAAGATAAACCGGATCCTCAGTAGCCAGCTGAGAGCTTCCCGTCAGCCATTCCGGCGCAAAGGTCATAAATCCACCGTACAACTCGGCCGTAGCCAGCACGGTCGAAACCAGCCACAGCGTCGCCTTAACACCGCCACGGGACTTGGCACTGATCTTCTCATTCGACGACCGGCACAGCAAATAGCAGATGTAAACCGCAGCCGGACCACCGAGGAAGACGGTCAATAACTCCAGCGAGATGACAGTCAAATCAGCGCCAGCCCAGCGGCGGTCAGCCTTGGCGTATTCCTGCCACAGACGCGAGGTAGGTCGAGTCCCGTATGCGGGACCGTAGAGACGGGTTGGGTCGTTGAGGAAGAAGGGCTCCACGCTCTGATTTGCAGCAAGAGTGGTGTAGCTGAAGAAGCACTCGTAGAGAAACGAGCCTTCGATGAAGATGTGGGTGAGAGCGTCATACGCGTGCCAGAAAAAGAGGACACGATCGCGTGTCCTGTGGGCTGGGACAAGTGTCTTGCTCAAAATGTACGCGATTGGCATCATAGAAAGTGAGAATACGATGCAGAGGACTGTCGTCGCGTCCAAAGTGAAGGACGCGGTGGACGCCATGGTGGATTTGATTATTTGGAGATCGTCAAGGGGTCTATGGTGGTAGGCAAGCTTGTAGATATCTCAGCCTGGTAGAATCAACACTATTTAGATGTGTTTCATGCTTTGTGGAATCAATTGAGAGCTTGATGGGGTGTCTGATAGGAGACGAAATAAAAAAATTAGGGGCTGAGCTGTCGCGACGATCAAAAGTTGGTGCCTCAGGCAGCGAGTGGGTCGCGGAGTGCAATTTCTATAAGAGTTCGGAGAGTAGTTATATCTTCATTTTCAGGTTTTGTTTTCCTTTGTATCACTTGAAACAAGCAGTGTAATACCCTTGCTTACTGCATGTTGTCATGTTCGATTTGGTTTGAACCACCTTGACAGTAAAATGCAGGGGATAAGTGGGCGGTCTCTGCTCGTTCGTCTTCATGTCCAACCCAAAATGAAAAAAATACCAATTTAGCAGAAGTTTTAATGATTCTCTACGCTATCAGTCGTTTGTATAGTTCCAGACTGGCTTGCACTCACCCGACACCACCTTTCTCAACGCTTCTTTGTTTGCCTGCAGCACACACAGCCTAGTGGGAATTTATCAAAGAAACGTGGGTTTGGGAAAAGCCGTCTGCATTCTCCACCGATACCCATTCATACTATTGATTCAGTTGGCCAATAATTATGTTGTATAAATCACTAACTTGAAAAAAGTACCTGTGGTTGGGTGCACCCATCGAATAGGCGAATCAACCCTGATGTCCGTGTTGGCTCAGAATGCTTGGCGGGTTATCCTTCGAGGCTGTCTCTTTCACAGCTATTACTATAATGGCTAAGCGTTCTTCGGCTTGTCTCTGGGCAACACTTTGTTATATTTTACTGTCTACCTCAGTCCAGACCTGTTGAAAGGCATTCTGTTCACCTTGTGGATCATGACTGTAGGGAAGACCACTCCTCTCATAGCTTCTTGTCCATTCTCTCTCAAATTATTCAGTCTCGTTGGCATTGTATTTTTTCGATTAAATGCCTTCAAATCTCGGGGTTATCGAGATCCCCGCCCTCACCAAGGTGACATGGGACGTATGCAACCAATGCCAAATCCTCGCGAAGGATGCTCCCACAGGACTCCAAAGGCTAGTAACTGAGCTGGGCTCGTTACAAGGCACTTTGCGCGCCATCTCCGACGATGTGAGCTCCAACTCATCTTTCTTTGAGAAGATGGATGAGGATCGCAAACAGACCTTCGAACGAACCCTCGGTACTTGTCTCGCGACCCTACAGCGATTGAAAGAGCTCCTTGCCCGGTGGAAGGGGTTTGAAACTGGCGATGGAATGGTCTTCTGGCAAAAGATCAAATGGGCGACACAACGAACCCAGATTGAGGATATCAGATCTAGGATCATGGTGCACACTTGCAATCTGAGTCTATGTTCAAGCTCTAAAGGGAAGTGAGTTTGTTCTGCTTGTCTCGAAATTTGGGGCTCATGGTCTAATCATTTTAGTGTATCGCTTTCTCCTATAGAGAAAACAATGGTTCTAGCGATGGAAGAGGATGAACAGGTTGTTCTCAGCACGGAGGCATCACCTGTTCGGGATACAGACTCTGTTGTCTCGCCGATGAGCCCAGCCCTTGGTGTGGTAGAGCTACCAGCTAATAACGAAGAGGAATGCGAAATCGATATAATCCAGGACGTCCGCGCCAGAATGTCGGATTTAGCTAATAATAGAAGCTCTGTGAGTAGCAGCAGCAACGTCAAATATACATCCACATCCTCCGAATCGGCGATGACCCAATCCGATGATTCGCTCTTCAACAGTACCCCGGCGACTTCTTGGTTATCCTTGGACACCTCACCATTCCTATCTACTAGGGGTCGAATAAATTATACACGGATCCGCAGTGAGCAGCTTCTCTTGGGCGGTTCGATCGACGGTCGGACACTTGATGGTGGAATATGGGCGAACGAGTCCGACCTGGCGGAGAAACAAGTCGTACATCACAAAAGATCCTACTCTGATGCTGAATACGGCCATCCGTGGGTTGTCGAGGCCGTGACATCCGCTATGCAAAATCTTCGTGAGGTTCGGCACCAGGAGCATATCTCACGGCCAATACGTTTTGGGCCACAGAATGAATTACATAAACCAACTGCGGAAACATTGAAAATATTCGAAGCATCAGTCAATGACGGTTTGCAGATCACAAGGCTACGAACAAGAGATTGGCTTCGCGTGGCGACTTGGTGGTTGTTGAAAGTGAGATCTCCGTGTAAAATTAACAGGACACAATATTTACTAACGTTTTCTCAAGGCGCGCACGACATTAGCAAATTGCAACAGACATAATTATGTCAGTGCCCGTGGTAGTCTGAGTCCCTCCATAGAATCCAGATCGACTAGTCACCAAGCTTATCTTGACCTCCTCAAGGCTTCATATATTCTGTACGATATTGTTCTGGAGGAAGAAGCCACCTCTTCTCCTCTGATTGATGAGGATCGAAAGTCAATTGTCGAGGTTTCCGATGTCAGCGCCTTCTAATCATTTACTTGAACATGTGACTAATTCAATATAGGGTATCAACGAGGAACTTTCCCAATATACTTCAGTCGACATCCCCGAACCGTCGAACCTACATGCCCAAAACCTTGCCATTTGGGAGCCTATGCAGCCGGAGGAAATCTGGGATGGCGGCATTGATCTAGATCTTGGGTTGGATAATTTGCGCTGGATTGCTGTTGATTTAGAGGATGCAGGTAACGAACAGGAAAAGGTCCTCTACCGCACTTTTGTCAATGCCAGCATCGGGGGCAAAAGATCTCGCATGCGCACCAAGGGTGCTCCCTACATGCTCTTGCTGGCAACACGGGAAGGTGAAAGTGAGCCAAAAATTATTCTCTGCAACCAAAGTGGTAGTCTGTGTCTTGAACGAGACTGTAAGTGATGATTCTTATAACACCCTCTCATGAAGCTAACCGATAATGCTAGTCGTACTGGATGATCTACCGCCCCTTATTCAATTATCAAATGCCGCTTTGACTGGCTTCCCCGGAGCTCGAGTCTCAGAACCTGTCCCATTTAAATTTGAGGATATGAGCGTTTCGATATCATTCCAGTCTGATGGAGATCTCGCGCAATTCATCAATATTCCAAAGGCTTACTTTGACGCTGTATGGCAGAGAGAACTAGTTGATGCAAGCGAATCTACCGAGAGCGTTATTTTCAAGACTTCGGTGGATATGTTCGAGCAACTGAACACGCCAACCATGAAATCATTGAACCCGCCTGTCGTGGTCAAATCGTGCGAGGTGCGCATTCTGGAACGCTCTTTTGGGGAAGCCTGGCGGTCTATCCGACGCATGGTAATTACTTCCTCTGCTGCCGAGAAGTCTCCAGGGACGATGGAACTTTTCATGCCTCTCAGTGGAATTCAGATCAACCGAGGAAACATGTCCCGCCAAGTGGTCTTACAGTGGTCCGACACATGCCAAGCGCGATCTGACAAGACCGATGGCAGTTATAACACCCTGCACTCCTACGTTTACGACGACACAGCGCCAAATATTGGTGTCGGTCTACAATTCCACTCATATCTAGAGGCGTGGGATTTTGAAAAAGCCGTCCTAGAGATGAACTTCCGTCCGGAGTTCTCATGGTCGCAACCCTGTGGATCTGGTCTCGTCTACAATGTGGTTGATGCAGGCACTGAGCACAAGCAATACAAAGCCGTGCTGGTATTTCGAACTCGTGCATCATGGCGATATTCAGACCTGTACTATATATATCGTGACGCCGACTATGAATACGACCACTCCTTGTTCAGGATCCATTTCCCTCGCATCTACTCCACAGACTACATCTCAACTCACGTTGACCAGCTCTACCATCCAGAGACACCCGTCAATTTCTCCCATTGCGACAAGAAGACCAGCCAGACAACCATCGAGTTTGGCAACGACCTTGTAGCCCGCTCATTCCTCAGCTCCCTCTCTCCTCTGTACGAACTCCTCTACTCCCGGCGGATCCAGTCCCTATCAACGAAAGGCAATTCACTCTTCGGGTTCCAGATGTCCGGCAAGCGCAGCGCCGAGATACAACTATGGCGTCGGGGAACGGCTTTCCAATTTGCCGCACGGTGGGATGATTCCGACTCGGACAAGTGGCTAACCATCTCTGTTCCATCCGAGTTCATCGATTTCTCAAAAGAGAATACCCGGCTCACCCTTCCACGTCTTCCATACTTGCGTGGCATGACACTTGATATGATGAATGTCATGGCTCGGAGCCCCAAGAATTCCAATGCCAAAAAAAAAGAGGGTGCCATCTCGATTTCTTTTCAAATAAGTGAAGGTCAGCCTGCCCCATCCCTTTTGGAACTTAATCTTAAGTTTTTATATCATACTAACCAATATCGAAATAAATAATAGACCGAGATGAGTTTCTGGCTGTGTTACAAGGGCAGCAATTGCCGAAATTCTTATAAAAATCTCTCATCTACTCAGATTGAATAAACAAATTTCAAAATTGACCACCTCGTTTATGTATTCCTGCTTCGAATAGGACACCGATAATACCGATCAAAAACTACAAGCTCTCAAAATGAGGTAGGTGAAAGAATAGTCATGCACACGGGGCAATATTAGCATTTGGTGGGACTACGTTCCACACACCGTATTTTCACAGCTATACTGCAGTTACCCTCACAATTCGTGTGACAGAGCCATAGTCATGAGTTATATGAGATTATCAAGCTATTCAAAGAGGTAAACAAAATAAATTCTATTAGTAAAAAGATGATTCTGGGCAGATATTGAGTGTCTGGTCATCTTTTAAGGAAACCCCAATTTTTTTTATTGGGGAACCTGGTTAGCGTACCGTTTGAACCGCGAGCTTTATAGGGACTTTGCCCCAATCCAGGTAGATGAGTGAGCGTTTCCACCTAGCCATATCTACTGGGTGAGATATATAGCAGTGACGTCATACATAACAAACGTGACTCTGTGTGTTTTGGTCTATTGGTGCCTATAATTTAAGGTCAGATACCAGAAATCACAGCAGGGGCTTAACATCTCGGTAGAAAAAACCTCTATAACTATATAGACTATTATTATAATTAGTCTTAATCCTACTTTAATCCTACTTTTATTCCTTAGTATTATATAGCTAAGATTAGACTGCGACATCGCCCATGGACGGGCGGGTGGGCATTGCCCACGGGCCTTATGTAAGCGGGAAATGGGCCCTATTGAGAGGCCCATGGCCCGTGGGCCTTTTTAGTAAGCAAAATTAGCGTAACGCGTGATCTTTTTTGACAGATTTCAAAATATTTCAACTAAATTTGTAATTTTTATATATTTACAATCATAATTCCGGATTTTTATATATATTTAAGACAACTTTATATAACGGTAGGCATAGTGGGCATGCCCGCGGGCGGTGGGCGTTAAGGACGGGCACTCGAAAACCCAAATAGCCCACCGCCCGCTGTGGACGGGCAATGTGGCATACCGCTTCTTATACGTCAGCTCCAAGTCATCATTTTCGGCCTTGCGTATACGAGTGCTCCAGCCGGCTGTATAGATATCCTTGGAGCACGTGTCCAGGAACTGGACATTCATCTTGGTGGTTGAGGCCACATGAAAAGTCGATAGGACAGTGTCTGCTAGCTCGAGTTTAAAGCTGAGCACCGCATCCGGGTCGAGCAAGAGCCTGACCTCGTAGTTGGACGTCATGTTTGTCACCGTGTCTGCTGGAGGAACGATCGTGGAAGTCATAGTAAATTATTAACTGAGGAAGAGATGTATGGTTGCTAAAGGCTTTGGGGCGGGGCGTGGACGAAGCGATCCAGGCAATAAAGGGATTGTAACTACACGAGCAAACCAAGATTGTGCTTGAAGATTGCTATTGGACGAAGTCTTAGTACTCCGGTCTACCTAAAAGCTTTTATAGCGACGAAGCAAATAGTACCAGTTCTACGTAGAATGCAGTCGTTAGCGGAACAAATCATCTAGAACCCTTGTCGCTAAAATTTATGATGATATGATTTCGTATTCCGGGCACACTCTCGTTACCCACGCACGACACTCCAAGTTTTAGACATCATTCAATCTCCCGCCATATTCCTCAATTAATTATGTTCTGATTGAGAACCCGTGACATAAAATAATGCTGCACTGAGTCTCAATGCGACTATGACAGAGCACGGTTTATATACGCGCAAATCTGTGAATTATCAAATAATCTTAAGTTTATGGACTTCCACAGCAGTACTTTCAAGACTATGCTAATAGTATTTGGAACGTTTTATCGGATTTTTCTTTCAATCTAGAAATCGATATCCATAAACGGCCATTCCATAGCAAACTTTTGGCCAATTTCAAGCACAAATTCACTTTCGCTTGGCACAATTATAGAAGTAGGAATAGACTTTGACGTCCCATAACCTGATCCGCTGGTCCGGGTATCTGATCTTTGTTAATGTAGCCTAATTTTGAGCTTGTTACCAGTTGATACCGATTCTGTAAATGTAAGGCTTTGACAGTGAGGAGAAACCTCGGATAACCCAACATCAGACGAAGTCAGTACAAGTTTGCGGGCTCATATGATTGACATAAACTGGCGGCGGCCATCCGCTTTGGGCGCTCATTACTAAATTTACCTCAATGGCAAAAGTAAGATTAATTTGTCCCTTCGTGTTAACATGTTTGTATTTTTGCTTCCCCGCCGCAATTCGTAATCCCAAGGGTATTGGATTGGCTGCTGTTTAAGGGTTGGTTAGGGTGATATCACTATTTTGTCTGTTTATTGTATATTATTACAAACTGTGTGGGTGAATTGCTCTGGCTAGGAAGTCGATAGAACCACACCAACAAAATTGGATTTATCTTTGGAGAAGCGCGTTCCTAGTTCGTGCGCATCATACGTCATTTTATTTGCGGGTTGAACTAACAGTCTATTAGTATACCACCGGGTCACTGTTTCTGGCTGTTTACTTTGAACCAGAAAAAGTCGGTTCTTTGAAATAAGGAAAATCACATTTTCCAATGGTCACCGTCAACCTAAAAGTTTGATTTTACTAGATTTTACTAGACAACCACAAGATGAATCCTTGTGGTCTCCGCTGGCAAGCCTAAAAGTAATGCCTTTTGTGGGAGATCACACGACTAACGAGGCCGCATGCGGCATGATCTGCCGTCAAGACAATGCGATTGAAATTAGAGTTCTACCGGCTTATCCGAGCCTTAGTTGGTATGCTACATACATTATTGTAGTCAAACCTTCACTAATCCTTGTCACAAGTTAATATTTCTCACATCGCTCATTATCTGTGTTGAACTGTGCTGGGGAATACGAGGTAAATTAGTCTCAGCAATGTTCTATACAAGGTTCCTTCGAGCCCCTTTACAACCATGGTCAATACGTCCGAGCCGCGTTTCGATGTTCTATGAACGGTAAACTTAAGTGCTCCTGTAATGAATGTGTTCTAGCTTGCTCTACACAGAAGAACGACGTGGAGCGCACTAGCCCATGGGCACATAAAATGGGATCCTTGTTCCAAAATTGCGAGAGAAGTGGTGGCTGAGTTTCTAGGGATATTGTATTGCAAGTCATGGGAAGCAGGATAGTCTGGATGGAATTCAGAATTGCCTAGCCATAAGATAGCTAGTAATCTAATCGTCACATTTACATTATCTGTACAAATAATGACTTAAACAATGACGGGAGTGAAGATCTAGATCATGAACAATGAAGCAAAGGAAAATGGGCCAGGTGGTCATGTTACCGTATGAAGTCTACATCAGCATTAATGTATATAAAGCGATAGACTTCTAGGGGAAAGGAAGGCTGTGGACACATCCTAGAGAATTATCATAAGCAACTACTTCAATCTTATCAGTCAGCTTCTTTATTATTCAAAGTCAGCCAAGGGTATCGACCGATATACCTGCCAGGTCGTGAGCATGGCTCCTTTATGTGGCATTATACCAGAATATGTACTGGAGGGCATCATTGAAAAGGGGTTGGCACCACAGGACACTATCCGTCGGTGCCAATCCACTCTTGAAAAAACAAAGCAACTTCAAGATGTTCGTGAACGTCATCGGCAGAGTATCGCAGCGGCTCAGCCACAACAAACCTCTCAAGGTATTATTCCACCTTACATCCTTGAAACACTTGCACGGAATGCTGCGACAGAACAACAACGCGAGGCAGCCCGCCACACACTTGCATACAGTGCTAAGCATCGAACAGTGGCAGGGCGTGTGCGTCAATTGAACCGTACGGTCTACGATGCGCAGAATTCACGTGATGATCATCCTCCCCGTGACAAAATTCTGATTCCAGAAGGTGGTGAACTTCTTTCGCAAGAGACTGATCCAACAAACAATGCAAACGAGTGCTATGTTGGGCTTGGGAAGACTTATGACTTCTACTTCAATTTCTTCGGGCGAAATTCATTTGATAATAATGGTATCAAGCTCGATGGCTTCGTGCATGCTGGGGACCTCTACAACGCCTTCTTCAACGGCGAAGAGCTAGTCTTTGGTGACGGAGATGGTGTTCTCTTTGATGGCTTCACAGATGAGCTCGATGTTATCGGTCACGAGTTTAGCCATGGCGTGGTGGAGTTTACGAGTTTACTTCCATACTGGTACCAGAGTGGTGCTCTCAATGAGTCTATTGCAGATGCCTTTGGTATTATGGTAAAACAATGGGGTGAAGGCAACCCCCAGACTGTTGACCACGCCAACTGGCTTATTGGGGAGGGAATCTGGGCTGCAGGTGTCAATGGCAGGGCTCTCCGGGATATGGCGAATCCTGGAACAGCTTTTGATGATGATCGAGTGGGGAAAGACCCTCAGCCTGCGCACTGGAGGGATTTCAAGAAACTCAGCAACGACAATGGCGGTGTTCACATCAACTCTGGCATCCCAAATCGCGCTTTCTTCCTTGCTGCTACTAAGATTGGGGGATATGCTTGGGAAGGTGCTGGTCCTATCTGGTACCGCGCTCTGAGCAGTGGTAAGCTTCCCACGGATGGTGAAGCTACATTCAAAGAGTTCGCCGATCTTACAATTGAGAGTGCTGGCGAGCATGTGGATAAAGTCAGGGAAGCTTGGACCGCCGTTGGTTATCCATTCCCTGAGAAGAGGCATGAGCTGTAATAACTAGTCCGAATGAGCCGGATTACCCGTGTTTTAGGAGTCAGAATTCTGTTTGTGCAAAAGTCTGTTATTTAATGTTCATTATTGCAGAAACTCACCCCTATATCGCCTCACCTAATCAAAATTGATCCGACAGTATTTCAATTCGGGGCACAGCTCTCTTAGAATCTACAATGTATCTAGGGTAACTATAGTATGATGGTTCTAATGAGGCACTAGGCCAAAAATGGCAATGCTTCGTTCCTACAGGCTGGGTATTGTTCCTACTGACATCACCCATGACCTAGGTAGTTGGCTCACGACGAGGGTAAATGGGAGTGTTCGCAGTGCGGTTTCTTCTGGTCGCTCTAGAGGTCTACGCTGCCATACCGACAAAAGCGACGGCAAGCTTCTGCAACCACTTGTCCGGCCACCTGGCCCAGAGATGGGAAAGCACAGTCCAACGTGCCCATCACGCTTCCTTAATCAAAGCCTTGCTAAAACAGCGCTCAAAAGCCCACGGAGCCCGCTCAACTCCGTGATGAATCAAGTTTTAAAGGCCTGCCAAATTACGATGCAATCGGCAGCTTTACTCAAGAAAGAAGTAAGCGAATTACGCGCTGAAAACGAGACGAAAAAGCGAAAAAGGACTCAGTCTAGAGGGCAAATAGCTTCCGAAGAAAGCCTCTCAGTTTTAGAGGCCTCTACATTAACGATGCAGCCGGAGCAAGCAGTTTTAACGCAAATACCCCGTGAAGCAGAATCAGCTCCGGCACCTTTACAGCCACGTACGAGAGCCTTACCGAAGTGCAGTATATGTGTAATTCAGGGTCATAAATTGACTACATTTCCTATGAGAACACGTTTTTAGCTTATTGAATTTAATGGCGTTTTGGTTAAGAAAAACGCATTTAAAATGAATAGATATAGGTAGGGTGGCGGCTCGCTTATGGTGGCGGGTCGCATGTGAATTAGTTACGTTACGAAGTGTAATTACAGAAGCTTGCCTGCCGAAGCTGCCAACCTGGCTTGCCTGGTTCGACCAAGCGGTTGCCCTACAAAGCGGGCATCAAACATGACTGATGCCCCTGCCAAGCCCCAGAGTTCACAAAGTCCGAGACATGCTAAACACGTGATAGAATGATCTATAAATTATTACTATATTTGACATAACTACAATCACTTCTTATTAGCTATGGTTTCCATCCTCTTACTTTTATAGCACACTATACACACTACTAGCCTACATAGTGGAAATACCACAATCATCAGCTAATAGAGCTTATAGCCATTGAATCCGTTCCTGAATTATGTAGATACCCCTGTATTGAAATCGTTAGCTATAATGGCTAATCAACCATCTTCAACAACATGAGCCCATCCCCATACCGATCGCTATTACCTGGGTGTCTTCCCTGTGGAAACTTTGCGCGGGGGACAATCCCCGGCGACAATGGGGATGGATCACTCCCGAGTCAGCTCGAAACATAGCCCCGAGGCCCCGAGGCCGAGCGGTGGGTGGAGCACGCACCGAGTAGACACAGCAGAAGGGATGTGATGTTAACCGGCTGAGTCCCCACTTTAGTGGTATAGTCAGAAGCGATAATTAGAGTCAAATGAGCGTAATCAGATAGCATGGGAGCTTATCGGCTAAATGGTGGGTCACTCCAAACCTACGCAGCGAACCGGTGTTGTTTTTCGGGGTGCCGGTCCGAGCCCGAAATTATACTAGCCAGGTTCGTCGTCGACGATGAGAAGTTGCAGATTCGGCTCATTGGGCTCAATTAAAGGAGCCAAATGGTCTTTATTAAAAGGCTCTGCTATCTTCTTAAGATTCAAAGTCTCGTTCCCTTGTAAATTCCACCTTCCTCGTCTGTTTTCCGCTTTTATACCCTTCCCGGTCAAAATCTACCACTATAAGTATGATTTTGAGCAATAATCTTTATACAAAAGTCGCCCAAGGGGGCCTCTGCAAGGTCAGTAGTCCTTTCACCGCATAATAATACCATACTCACCATATGGGCCTCTCGATAAAGGCATTAGGCATTCGACTAGTTACAAACCCTGCTGTTGTCCAACTTGCGAAAAACGGCGGGTTCGACGCGTTATTTGTCGACTTGGAGCATTCTACATTATCAGTAAATGATGCTAGCCAGATTTGCACTGCAGCTCTGCAGATCGATATCACTCCTTTTGTTCGAGTGCCATATCAATGTGGGAACGGGTTTGTCCAGCGTGTGCTGGATAGCGGTGCCATGGGTGTTGTCTTCCCACATATCCATAATAAAGGTGAGCCGCTCGTTCGATGTACCAAACAAAACTATTCTAACGGCTTTTGGAACGGTTACAGGAGATGCGGAGGCTGCAGTGGGAATCTCGAAGTATTCTCCGCAGGGATTTCGGTCGATGACCGGCCAGTTGCCAGTTTTCGGTCTTCGATCGACTCCAGTCAAGACAATCATCGAGGAAACCAACGCACATGCCTCCACTGTGCTTTTGATGATTGAAACTAAGGACAGCATCGAAAATGTGGACGATATTGCCGCCGTTGACGGCGTTGACGTGCTTCTCATCGGGTCGAATGACTTGGCAATCGAACTCGGCGTCCCCGGCCAATTTGAAAGTACAGAGTTCCGTAATGCGCTAGAGAAAGTCAGCCAATCCTGCCATAAACACCGCAAGATCTTTGGTCTTGCTGGAATCTACGACGCCCCGGAGATCCAAGACTGGGCTTTGAATACTTTGGGTGCTCGGTTCATCCTTGCACAACAAGATTCCGGTTTAATTGCCGGTGCTGGAAAGAAATGTGCCGATGTTCTCTCTCGGATTTACAAACAATAGAATACATACGCAACTTATATGTATATATTTTGATCCAGCCAGTCTGGGAGTGTAAGTTTACCTAAGTAGAGGAATAATCGTGGCAAGCCCACACAAAACGCTTTACACCCGGTGTTGGTGGGGAACATATGCAAATATAAGCGTGAGAACGTAAGGAGAAATTATCGCAGAGGACCAAAGGATTACATAGGCCCCAAAGTGCTGCCAGCTTCTTGCTTCTGTCAAAATACTGGGGAACACCATTGATATTAGAGTTGGCTGTACAAACTGTGCGCAATCTCGTCACGTTCCTACAATAAGGCATTTTATCCCAACAACGCTGACCGGAGATTTAGTGCTTAGCTCATATTGCGGCGTTCAAGTGAACCTGACCAAGCGCGCTTTGGAGGCCTTGTCGCAAGGAAGTACGGAACAATGCATGAGAAGATGAACAACGTAAAGAGCTGATAAATGAGTACAGATACTTCATATTTGTCGTTAAATTCCTACTATACATGAAAGGCGATCAACAAAAGCTCGGTTCAAAAGAGGTGATTCTCAGTTGCTATCCAGCACAATAACCTCTGCCTCTACTTCTCCAACACTCTCCACGCAGAGCGCATCTCCAGCATTTACCATTGTAATAAAAGCCCCATCGCCCTCCTCAAGAACGGCATCCTCCCTACCATTGATCCTGACCTTGGACTTGCCCTGTTTGGTCATGGGCAAGTGAATATAAACATTTCGCTTCTTCCTGGACTCGACAGCTTCTCCAGCGCCAATAGTCCACTTAAATGTCGAGGCCGGCTCAATAATTCCAGCCCCCATGACGAAATCAGCATGAATGGGGATAGTACCGGAAATTTTGGGCACGGCAGCATCTTCCTGTGCTGGGGTAGCTTCGGGTCCCGCAGCAAGCGGGGATAAGATAGGAACAAATGCTTTGCGCTTTGCTTCCTCGCTGAATGCCATAGTGTGGTACTGTGGCTTGAGGCCCTGCTTCCAGGGAAGTGCCCAAATTTGAAGGAAGTGAACCGACTTGTTGGATTCGTTCTGCTCCGAGTGTGCGATTCCTGTCTCATGTCAGCTTCAATTGACTATGGGGTAAATTGGAGGTTCGATAGACTTACCCGTTCCGCCTGTGGTGAATTGTACATCTCCCCGCTTCATTCGGTAAAATTCTTTTCCTTGCTCCCCCTCGGAGCCCTTCTTAACCATGCTATCCCGGTGCGTGAGCTCGCCATTTAGGATGTAGCTGAAGATTTCCGCATCGCGATGCGGATGCGTTGGGAATCCATTGCGCGCTGCAACACGGTCCTCATTTAGAACGCGCAGACTTCCGAAATTCTGGAATCGATGATCGTAATAGCCGGCGAAGCTGAAAGTATGGAAAGATTTGAGCCAGCCGCCATGTTCAGCGTATCCACGTTCACTGGATCGGCGGAGAGCAATCTTAGCGTGGGCAAGTGGGTTCGACATTATTTTGGTTTTAGATTGGTCAAATAGCACAATTGAAATGTGTTTGAGATTGTTCTTTTTTATGATTAGAAAAAATATCGACGTGGGCCTGAGGGTTTATATAGCTTAAGATCAAGTCGTCTAGACGGCTCAAGAACCTTGGAAATCCATCTCATCGGGATTATGGAATCATTATCCATCATCAATAAGGTGACGCTAGTCCCAAATAGGTATAGGGCTGTATGTAATCACTGACATTTGGTTAGGAATTTCTGAGTCATCCATTCGTGCTGCCCAGGTGGGGCCTCGTAACCTCAGGCATTCTCGAATCTTGGTTCTTCCCAGCCAATTGAAATAGATGTCAACTACCTCTTTTACAGTGACTGTTCATACCTAGGTAAGTTTTAACACTCCCTTTGGCTTCACCCATATACCGCCTTCCTTAACCGCCTATACCGCCTATATAAATAGATTGGTGAACCTTATCTCTCTCGAGTTCATGTCGCATGTCTGGATATTTTGATATGATTTCTTAAAGACGATGCCTAGCCTAGTGTAGACAATCATCAAAAGCCAGAGATTTTGATGTACAAAAGTATTGAAGAAAATCTTTTGACTGGCAGAAAATTACATAATCAAAGTGGTGTGCCCAGGTGTTAATACTTATGAACAGTCACCGTAAATTTGTACCTACCTAGGTACCTAGGTATGCCCGGGTTTACATCTGACTAAGACAAAACATTAACAAGACAAGCATGCAGACCTCCATGAATGCGTCTTGATGTCATCGCTGTATGCTCAAAGCGCAAAGGCATATGACTGGTCGTGGCACCTAGCTCTGGTTATAAATGCATGGAAGCTAGATGGAGAAAGATTCTGGTATATGGCAATTTCAAGCTCTTTCAGTACGTATCATTCATTCCGATTGCATGTAGGATATACCAGGTTACCTCTTAGTTTCAATGAAAGATTCTGGGTGGCCACAGATCTCGCACAATGCACCTTTAGTATTGAAAATAGATTTTGCTAAAGGATACGGCAGGTAATTGGGACAATAGTCCACTATCAAACAGGAAGGCAAGCTCAGAGGATACACAATGTCGTGGTGGTCATGGTTCCACTATGGGAATCACATCTCGAGAGCGCGTGAAATATGAATTGGGCCCCGCGCAAGGCCTTGTACTTGATGGAACTGTTGTTGTGGTTGTTTTATCCAAAGCAGAGATACGAAAAGCAGTTTGCACGTCGTCTTATCGCCCTTCGCGGGCATCGGGTTGACTCCGAGAAACAAATACCACTTCCTTGGCCCCCAATGTAAGCAATACTTGGTGTCTTCCGGGGACCATATATCAGGTTTTTTCAGCCCCCCATGTCTCAGATATAGTTGGCAGCTTAGTGGCTGAAGAATGCAAAAACGCCACTAGTGTTGGGATCCCCCGATCTATACTTAGCGTGGAATAGTTTATGAAAGACTGCAGGCTATGTGGGGCGTGAAAGGAACATGAAGTCCAATATACATCAACTCCGCGATACGATACTCTTGAAAAAGCCCAGTCTGATTATTGGACTTCTAGATCTACCGGGGAAAGGTCTTAGAAAGAGAACTGCATGCAAAAAGGGGGAAATGTGCTCCTCAGTGTTTCTGTTCCATCAAACACTGGCAATATTTATCATAACAGTTTGTCCCGAGCCTCGCAAACCCAGAAAAATACGTGTTTTGAAAGAAGTCTGATTTCATACGCCTACTTAATATCAAGTTTTGTGTCACTAGCTCATAAACCCTCTAATTCTGCAGATACTCTGAAAGCCCTCAGCGTCGCCCCCAGTAAGCGGGATTGGCACTTCCAGGGCACTAGCGGGCTCCACTGTGCCTTATCTCCACTCTCCGGCCGCTCTTCGGTGTCTGCTTTCTTTATGTTGGTTCTCATCAGTTGAGCACTCATTAGGTTATCAAAGAAGTGGGGTCTTGGAACACTGTACTTACACTTCATATCCATGCTGCAACCTGTAGGGGAAAGACAAAAAGAAAAGCCGGTACTCTATGGGCCATCGTTCAGGCTGTGTATCGCCTCGATAATATCTCCATTTTTCCATCTGCCTTGTGATTTATATGTTTCAAGGGGGTCCAGGAAAAAGCGACTGACACTGTATCTCTCTCGCCCCCAAATTTTGAGGTGTTGACAACAAGTTTCGTTTGATCCACAATGGGGCAACTTGGGGTCAATTCTTCGCCCCCTAATATAGATAGATATGCAGATAGTGTTATGAGAGTGAGGCATTTACCTGATATCCACAGATAGCCAACTACCTTACCAGATGAGGCAAGTAGGCTCGATATCACTGTGGTGTAGTCGTTGGCATATAAAAAGGCATCGGCCCTCGCGTTCTCTGAGCAATTCATCAGAGGCATTCGGGAATTCGATCATCATTGTGATTCCCTTCTATCCCTGTTCTCTTGCATTTCACGTCCATCTTTTTAACAGTATGCAATCTACAACTACTCTGCCTAACTCTTCGGAGATCTTGCTAACTCGGCATAGACACTATCCATATTACACGAACACAAGAGTCATCGTCATATCGCAATCATGTTCAAAGGCATCTCGGATCATTTTGGATCCATCATCGTCGCTTTGCTGTCCATACAAGGTGTTTGCTCAGCACTTGAAGTTGAGCCAAACCAGACTTCAGGTCAAACCAATGACAAAGAGGTTGCGGAGCTGGAAGTCCGGACAAGCGATGAGTATACTATCGTCCATAAGTGGAGCGGTGGAGCCATCATCGGAACGGCTGCTTCGGTTGGCCTCGTGATTACTGGAGTTGCCAACGTAATTACCAGCTGGTACAGCAGCACACCAGACGCGCAAAAGATCTGTGGAAAGTCAGCGACAATTAGCACCACAGGAGGCGATGGAGTCGGCTATAAATACTACGTCTATTCTTACACAACTGGCTCAAACTGTGACAGCACTCAGCGAGCAAAGACCATCACCAACAAGCTCTCCGATGCATTCGATGACTTGCATTCTCAGGGAGCCTCTGCAGTGTGCCTTGACTTTGATCACCATGGTACATGGCATGGAGTGCTTGGCCTGGCAACCGTCGGCTCTGGAATTGACCCACAAAGCGCTTGCTCCGATCATCACGCAGGCGCTAAAAGGAGCGATGCTGACTTTCTTGAGCTCGAGGAAGACAGAAACGCCACGAAGAGAAATGAAATTGGACTTGTGAAGAGGACTTCAATCTCCGTCTCAGAGTCAAACAAGAAATCAGGAAGCACCAAGTTCAGCGATGCCAACAAGTCCCAGCCAGTGATCCTCGGAATTGCGAACAAGATGTATCAGCAAAGTCAAGCCGGAAGCTGCAGTAGCGTCACAGGTACCCTGCAAGACTATAACGGAGTGAGTTATTCCTATTACTTCTACGCCTCGGGGCGTAACTGTGATACTACTGCTCAGATCAAGACAATGGTCTCTGCTCTTGACGATGCATGGGATGGTCTGGGAAGCACTTCGGCACTGTGCTTGACAATGCAACATGGAAGTGGCACATGGAGAGGACACTTGGGTATTTCCGCAATGCAAGGCACTTACCCTGCCCAGAGCTTGTGTTAGATAAGAATACTATCCCAAGGCAGGTGAGTCTGCAATAGCCCCAAACAGTTGATTGAGTATTTTTTACAAACATTTTCTTAGCTTGAGTTGACTTTAACTAGTCTACCAGATACCGACGCAGCCTATGTAAGACCATCCGCAAGCTTGCGAAGTCATACTATAAAGTATTTCCTAGAGCCTCAGCACCGGGAAACAGATTTTTTCTGAGATCAATTATACACTTTGCTTACATGAGTCGGATCCGTAAACCCCTATAATGGTAATAACCATTGAAAGAAATGATAGGATTTCATGTAGCACAGAAATCTCGACAAGTAAAGGAAAGCCATAGTCTCCTCTGACCGGCCCTTATCTACATCTACAGCTTAAAATCGAGACTCACAGTATGGAACTCATACCAGCCCAAGCAGTATCTCATCCGGGAATAGGTTAAAGGGCTTTGAAAGGTTTGCGGTTTGCTCGGATCATACTCTGAGAATATCCACTCTTACAATAGGTGATTTAAGGGCATTTAGTTGATTTCGCTTCCATTCGAGCATACAAGGCCACATATAACACCAAATGGGCTGAAAGTCACCCTCTTGAAGAGGTCGGCTATACTGCAAAGTCTACCACAGTCCGATCCCGCGATGGTGCTGATATCAACGTGCAAGTATCATTTCCACGGTCCGACTATCTCCACGCTAGATAGAAAGATAAAATTCCTCTACCGATCCTCTTAGTTACGTATGGTAGGGGCTAGATTTAAATCAATTATACCTCCGAGGAGCTTTGGCTCTTATGCCCATTTTATGAGCGTTTCGACCTTGTGATTGTCAGTATAGAATACCGCCTGGCTCTGGAGAACCAGTTCCCGATCTGGATTGAAGATTCCGAGGGTGTACTAGATGTCCTACTCGATTCCCTAAGAGACTTCTCCATTTAAACGCAAACATCAAGGTTGATCTCCATCGACTCATCCTGGCTAGTTCCTCCTCTGGAGCAGGAATCAGTATCGCTCTCTCTCAGATCTATCGTAACAAGGGCATCCCTATCAATAGTGTTATCCTTAACGCTCCCAGACTATACGACCCTCTTTATCTATAGTTCGCCGAGTACGGTCCCTCTGAAGAATACCTTCGTTCTTGCACCTAGTGTATGGAAATCTTCATAGGCTTAAGTGGGTTCCTCGCCGTTTAGAACCTATTTCATCCAGATACCGCCTCGTGCTTAAACAGTAAAGCGTCTTTGTTGCTCGGAGATGCGGAAAATCTTCCGCGACATTTGATGTTTGTAGCAGGATAGGATCCCTTACGAGATAAGGGGATTGTATATGCCAGAAAGCTAGAAGAGGGTAATATACCGGTTACGCTTTATAGTATGTATAAAGTTGTTCCGCATAATTTCGGACACTTTTAGGAGTTACAAGCGATAAAGAGATTTTGGGGGGATTTGAGAGCTACTCTGGAGGAATGGTTACTTTAAAGATCTCACGCCTTCGAATAATTGTTCAAGTACTAGTTCTAAAGGTAATAGAAGATGGCAGAAATCAGACACAGAGTGCACTCTATGTTACTCTTCCACAAATAAGACGATACATACGACCATAGGGTGTGGAAAACAGGGCTTCCCGTCCGCTCAGCCGTACTTAAGCCACACGCCGGTGAGTTAGTAGTTGGGTGGGTGACCACCAGCGAATCCTCACTGTTGTATGTTTTTTCTTTTTGCTATTTTGGTCGCGTTTGCGGCATCGTGATGTTCTTCTAGGTGGTCTGTTTTTCGGTTTTGATTTATTTGAAGGCGGTAAAAAAATCATACTTTGTGCAAGCGACTTTTCTACATGTAAAACCTGTGGTTGCCTGGGCAATCCAATTAGGCAGGTATAAGTTGTATTTGAGGGAAAGTAGAAGAATCAACCTTGGGCTGTGTTTTATGTAGGCTTTACAATGGGTTGAATGTTTGTTCCCAACTATTACCTAGCGATATAAATCAATTGAGCCTGAATTGGTCGGTCCGGTTTACCGAACAATCACGTGGATCCGCGATAACGGAATAGATTCTCTGATCCCCCAGGGCTGGCTCTACCAGTGGATGAATACTCTTTTGGCGAAAGATTGAACTCAATTCCCGCATCATTATTATCGTCGAATGGCTGTCGGGAGAGAAGAGTACAAGTGAACCACAAAAGTTGTCCTCTTTGGGGCCTGACTCTGTCTCGGGCTCGTCGACCGAACGTTTTCCCAGAGTCGCCCCGCCTGTGCCTATAGTGTTGTACTGCGAATCCACTGGCCAGTCAGAGTCAAGTAATACGATGGAGCACGAGGATTCATCGAGGGACCTGCGTCGCACCCGCAGGATTAATGCGTAACGATCCACTTTGGCATTGGATTGCAAGCCTCATTCACGCTGATATTGTGGTCTAGATGCATGATCTGTCGTGACCGCAAAGTTCGGTGCTCTGGCACCTATCCATGTACTACCTGCGTTAGACGCTCTACCGTTTGTACCTTTGGTCCAGATGACCGCAAGGTCACGGTCAGCGAAAGGTATGTGCTACACGTTTCCTACAAGCAGAAAACTATTATGCTCACGAGATCATCACCAGGTTTTTGAATGATCTGAAACGAAAAGCTCGTGAAGATCCAAATGAGGAAAGTCCAAATCGAAGAAGACGACCGGAAAGCTCCCCAGATCGGCAAAGCCGAACCTCCAACGTTGGAGATACTAGAGCCCGGCCATACGGTAGTGGTGAATGACCCACCCCATCTCTCCAAGCCCGCCCCCGCTTCCCTTTTTTTCAAGCACCAGTTTTTGGAGAGAAATTTGGCGAGCTTCTGTTGTCCTTTTTGTATTAACATTCCAAGCATTGGATATAGGCCAAGAAGCAGTCACTGCGGCCACCGTGGAACAAAACGGGCCTGTGGTTGCATCAAGTTCTCATAGTGACTTGGGCGATATTGAAGGACCTGAGACAAGTATCTCAAATCCATTGGACTCAGGAAGATCAAGGTTCTGTGTTGACAATAATGGCCGGAGACGTAGGTTTGTCCTTATTCTTTAGAGGTTTGCTTTACCTAGGTCTGACATCTTTGCAGGATTTCTAGGACCGTCGTCAACATGGGCATACACTCGCCAGGTAATTGTTGATATTCAACAGCATTTCAACCATCCAAGCATACCTGAGATACCTCTTCATGTGGACGGTAACGCATACATGTTTAATCTATCGGATGCTGGAGATACACCATTCACCAAGGCCGAGTTACCTTCGTTGGATTATGCACTTTACCTGATGAATACCGTTCAGTTTCACATTGCACAGCTATATCACCTTTTCGATCAAAAGTCCTTTATGGATGGGCTTTATCAATTCTACGATTGCACCGTTCCAGAGCCTCCGAAGTCCAAATTGTGGTACATACAATATCTTCTCATCATCTCATTCGGCAAGTCATTTTTGATGCAAAAGACTGCTAAAGAGCCTCCATCTGGCGTGGTATTTTTTGCTCGAGCAATAAAGCTTCTGCCAGACATACAAGGTCTATATGATGATCCTCTACTATCTATGGAGATTTTATGTGCAGCGTCATTGTACCTGCAGTGCCTAGACCACCGAAACCTTGCATATGTTTATGTGAGTGGCGATGAGACTATTTTCGGTCCCTTGAGGTTTCAGAAAATTAACAAATATACCACTTCTAGCTTGGAATCGCTCTTCGTATGGCTCTAACACAAGGGCTACATCGTGAGGTCGATCTCGAAGCCTCGGATGAAGAGTCGGAACGATACCGGTCTATTTGGTGGACACTATATATTTTAGATCGAAGGTTTTCCTCATTGATGGGGACTCCGATCTCTATAAATGATGCTGATGTGACTATGGGGTTACCTAACTCTGGCATTTTACACCAAAGATGCAGGACCTTGGGTATGCACGTCAGACTTTCACGAATCATTTCAAATGTGCTAGACTGTAAGTACCTCTTCTACTGAAAGGCTTACTGTTTGGTAGATTTGACTAATGTGTCCTTCCCTTTCGTCTTATAAGCTGTCTATGGATCAGATGGGCGATTAAATCAATCCTTTATAAAAAGCGTGCAAGAAGTTCTCCGCAGTCTAGCTGCTCTCGCCCCAGACCTTGAGCGCCAGTTCAAGCTCAATGGTTCTAGCGGGGAACCAATTTCGAGAGCTACTGGCACACTTCATCTCTGCTATCACCAGGTAATCCACATTCCAGTACATCATGGGTCTTCGGCTTGGAAAATGATATTAATGCATTCCAATTAGTGTGTCATTCTAGCCACGCGGCCGCTTCTTGTGCACATCCTTTTCCAAAGATTGTCAACCTCCAATAATCATACCTTTACCGATCCGATCATAGCTTTGACCAGAAAATGCTTCGAAGCTGCACACAAGTCCCTTCAAATACTCTCGGCCTTGCGGTCCCAGGGTCTTCTTGGTATGCCTCTCACGAAAACAACCGTGGATTTTTCTGTATCCTAACCCACGTCTAGACTGGTTTCTTCCGTTTGACATTGACTGCACACATTCCTCCGCATTTGTTCTTCTCTTGATTAAAAGCATCTGTCCATTTCCGGAAATATCTGGCTACGATATGCCCCAAATTGATCGTTCAAAGGAGGTTCTGGACTCGATGATCGAACGTGGTTCAGTACCCGCCCAATATCGTCAGTCTGAATTGGAGATATTCCAGCAGCTGCTTCGGCTTTTCGGAGAACAGGACGATCAAAATCTAGTCCCGCCGGAAGAAGTTGTTTTTCAGGATGATGCTCATCAAAACGGGAGCTTTGAAGAGACATCCACATTCTCACAATTTGTCGATGCAGTTGGCGATGCCGGATTGTCGCCGTCGGAAATGCTCGAAATTGCGCGCTTGTTAGATTGGGGAGATGTTTTCGGGAATCCGATTTTGTCGTTGCCATTTGAACAGCCTTAGATCAAAAATCTTTCCACAGCTTATGCATTTCTGTATCATTTCTTAGCAACTTCAATACCACACTATCAGACTACGATTCCTTGTTTTTTGCGGAATTTTCTCATTAAGCTCTCAAGGGCCGTACTTCAAGCTTATAAGATTCAAAATGATCCAACGCAAGCTCTAATGATTCTTAAATTCTATTCTATAAGGGTTAATGCAAACAAAGAATCAAAAGCGTTACAAATGAACCTGATGTGTATCCTGCCTAACAGCCACGATTGCAGAGGCTACCCGGCGAATATTAGACGAGTTTAGGCCAGATATATTGATCCGGCCATTGTCTGGCAGATAAATATGATGTTCATCGCGAAGTCTTTGGCATTGCCGTGGAGACAAAGGCAAGCAACTAGAATATTTCAGTACTTCAGCATTCTGGGTATAAAAGGAGTCAACTATTCATCTTACCAAAAAAGACCCTTGGTGTTGATAATGACATCCCAAGATCCGGGATTCTAAAATATGTTACCCTAGTCAGTCAATATACACAAGAGGATGGGTTCTCAAAACGTACGCCTTTTAGGGCTTCATGAAGCTCTAGCCGATTTCTGCGGAGACGGTTCCGCATGATTGACAACTCATCAGACCTGCAAAATAATTAGAATAATCCAAGACCCCACCCAAGGTATAAAATACCCACCAATCTTGCTTTAGCTGGTTGTTGCCAATGATAGTTGTAACAAGTCGCGCTCCGTACAGCGGCGAAGATGATATTTCCCATCGGATCAGACAACGCAATTGATCATAGACATTTGCAGCAGTGGTGTCGGATTTACAAACCACATGAAGGGTGCCGCATCTCTCTCCATAGAGTCCAAAGTTCTTAGAGAAAGATTGACAAACGACCATTTCGAATCCCATTTCCACAAAATGGCGCACCGCATAAGCGTCTTCTACCAGAGAATCGCCCAGACCTTGATAAGCAATATCGAACCATGGGAAGATGTGTGCTTCTTTCATCGCATCGGCAAGCATGTCCCACTGAGACTGGGACAAATCCATGCCGACGGGATTGTGGCAGCACGGCTGTAAAATAAAGATACTGCCTGGCGATGCTTGCAACACCCGTTCAATTAAAGTTGGGAAGTTCACAGTAGCAGACTTGGGGTCGTAGTAGGGATATTTTACCACTTCCAAGCCAACTAATGTGCAAAGTGGCTCATAATTTCCCCAGGTTGGAGTCCCGAGGTATACTTTAGGGCTAGAGGACGTGTCACATCTGGCGAGGAACATGGCAGCAAGATGATTGGCACCGGTCCCCGATATGGTCTGGACAGATGCAACCTGCAAGTAGGAGATTGTGAGAAAAGGGAGAAAAAGGGTGAATATGCTAGTACTGGGTTTCTTCGAGTTCATTACATATTCAGATTCCCAGGACTACTTACCCGACCGGAAGTGAGAGCCTCGCATGCCTCTCCGAACATGATAGCTGCTGCACTCTTCAAGAACTCTGGATTCCCAGTAGTCGATTCATACTAATCTCAAGGCATCAGATTTCAAACCGAATATTTGCAACAAAAATTGACGAAGGAGAGGATACATACATCATGCCCTAGGTTCTTTTCATACAAAATTCTCTTAGCCTGATTTGCGAGAGAACCGTCAGAGTCAAATCGATCAACCATTTCAACGGTTATGAATTACCTCATGAACAGCGTTTATCTCATGATAATTTCCTTCCTCGTTTCGATAAATCCCAACTCCCAAATCAACTTTTCTTGGAGAATGATCGTTGTCTGCCTGTTTTTTCAGGTCAAACATTGGGTCTTTAGGACCACGCGGGACATTGTCAAACATGCCCATGATGCTTCCGATTGAAGAATTATCAAATATGGAGGTTTGAAAGATACGTGATAAGGGTATATGTACATAGTAGGGAAGAAATGAAATGCTTTGCTCGAATTTAGGGTTTCATGACTTCTGGGGAATGCTCGGGCTCGGAGCCCGAGCCCGAGCCTTATCAGTCGAAACCCACTTTCCTAAGATCTTCTCCAGGCCTATCCCGCTCAAAAGATAACAGAGTCTGTAATTTCGAGGCTTCATGAGGGCTTGGTAGTTTACTATCGCATTTAATCGGAATCGTATCTTTACGAGCCGCCCCGGCCATTTGGCCATAGGTCAGTTACGGTACTTAAAGGAATCAAAGTATCCGGAGCAAGTGAAAGATCTGAATTTTGCATTCTCTCTTCACTCCCATTGTCCTTTTTCTTCTCCACGCGTTTATTTTATATTATGGCCCACAAAGCAGATGTGATTGGGGTTGAACCACCCCCTGTGGAAGACATGGTAACGGGTTCTATGAAGGATATTCCTTCTCAGGAGGAAGGGGATCTACACAAGACCCTGAAGGACCGTCACTTGAGCATGATAGCTATGGGCGGTGCACTGGGCACTGGTCTGTTAATTGGAACGTAAGTCTCACCTGATGAACTCTCAGCTCGATCTTATGGCTCACGCATTTTACTAGTGGATCGGCATTAGCACAGACGGGTCCTGGAGGAATTTTGGTCGACTACAGCATAATCGGAGTGATTGTTTTCATGGTTATGGCTGCACTGGGAGAGATGACTTCCTTTGCTCCGATGTCACGTAAGTTCACACGCCGTGAACATCTTTGTCTACAGATTGGGTGTGCTAAAACAGAGCTTAGGAGGATTTGGTGGCTATGCAACACGTTTTGTTGACCCTGCTCTCGGCTTTGCTACGGGATACGCATACTTCTTCAAATACCTTCTCGCGACTCCAAATCAGCTGTCGGCTATAGCTCTTATCATTGAGGTATTACTCCCTCTATCCGTACATTTTCTAGGAACGGGATATTTACAGTCACACTTTTTGCCAGTACTGGACTGGAGACAAGGTCAATCCTGCGGTATGGATCACCATCGCCTTGATAGCCATCCTGGTGATCAATTTTATCAGCGTCAAAGCCTTTGGGGAGTTCGAATTCTGGTTATCGTCCTTCAAAATCATAGTCATGACCGGTGCTATCATTCTTCTGCTGGTTTTGGCACTTGGTGGTGGAGCCAAGTCAGTATCCCACAATCAGCTCTTGCTATAAAACAGCGTTTCTAATACCCAAGACAGCTTAGAACGAACCGGCTTTCGATACTGGAGCAACCCAGGAGCCTTTGCGGAGTACAAATTAAAGGGCTCCTTGGGTAGGTTTGTTGGTGTTTGGAGTACAATGGTTCAAGCGTAAGGATATCACATTTTTCGACTTTATTATCATATGGAGTATGGAGTATTCAAACACAAAAAATGCTGACATGTTTAACCTTTTAGAGTATATGCCTACGGCGGAACAGAGCTAGTGGCCGTCACAGTTTCGGAAGCTCAAAATCCAAGGCTGGCCATGGCACGAGCTGTAAAGCTGACATTCTTCCGCATTGTGATCTTCTATATACTGTCGGTTCTCTTTCTCGGAATGGTTGTTCCATACAACAGCTCCGAATTGGCGTTTGCCGCGGGCTCTTCCACCAGCGCCGCCGCATCGCCTTTTGTTGTGGCTATCAAACTCGCAAAGATAAGGGGTCTAGACCATGTGATCAACGCATGTCTGCTGATGTTTGTGATATCAGCGGCTACCTCCGGTATGTCTTCTTTGTGTCCATATCTCAATATCATCATTGGCTAACACGAAACAGACTATTATATCGCCACAAGAACAATCTACAACATTGCCGCTGACGGGAACGCACCTAAGATTTTGACTCGAACAAATAATCGAGGTGTGCCTATATTTGCAATGATCATCCCCACTGCTTTTTGCTTTTTGGCGTATATGAGCACAAGTTCTGGTGCAAAGGTCGTGTTCAGTTATCTTACTTCCATGGTTTCCACTTTTGGTATGTTCTCAGCCTCTTATAACCGACCTCTCGTTCAAGAAATTTCGGAAGCTAATGTTTTTATTGTAATTAACAGGCATGCTCACCTGGATTTCCATTCTGGTTACCCACATTTACTTCTCTCGTGCGGTCAAATTGCAAAAAATACCGGCAAATCTATTCGCGTACCGGGCACCATTAAGAGAATGGGGATCCCTGGGTGGTTTGTTGATATTGTGTCTTTTGACACTCACAAAGGGATTTGGAGTATTCTTGATCGAATTTGATTACAAAAACTTCATCTTGCAGTATATTGGGCTGCCGATTTATTTGGGTTGCCTGTTTGGTTACAAATTTTATTACCGAACTGGGCGCGTCAAGGCTTTCGAAGCAGATCTGGTGACTGGGGTGTCGATGGAGCCAATCGAGATAACCAAAGCCCGGCAAAAGGCTGAGATGGAAGAGAGCATTGCAACAAAACCCGCATTTATTCGAGTATGCAAGAAGTATCTAGCTTTGTGCTTTTAGTGAGATATGGTTACGTATGGATATAATATCAGTTATGTTCCTCTTGCAGAGAGCTGAGTAGGGGCTTGCTGATCTGGGGTCTGCCAGCTTCTAGTAATTAAATTATAGAAGAGATACATATCCGGATAGATAAAGGTTTTCGTTGAATCAATTTAGTAGTGTTTTAGCGGCAATAAATATATTTGAATGTAATAAGTTGATTGGGGTATACAGCTCTACTGTAAAGTGATATGATATTTGCAATTCTACAAATATGTATGTAGGCTCTAAGGCTGACAGTAAGCTCTAAATAGACCAGATGCAGTACAACGAAGCTAGATGTTTAGGTATCAACGGCTTTCCCAGAACTGCGCATCAATAGCAACCAACCGATTAAACAGTTGATTTCGTGATCTCATGCCAGTGAGATGGTAAGACTGGCCCAGCTCATCACCGCTAACAACCAGCCCACCCGCAGCCTCCTTGCTCCCAGCCGTCAGTTCAACAATCAATTTCCCCTTCCAGCCAAGTCCCTCCGTCTTCTTCAGCTCTTTGATCTCGGTGACGGGAATCTGGAACAGAACAGTTCCCTTCTTCCTACTTTCGATGCGTAGGTCATCCAGTCCAGCGGATTGATTTGTGGTAAAATACAAAATAGGAGGCTCCTTCGACGAGTCAATGACCGCCGCGCCTCTCTTGCGTTCGAACTTTGCATCGAACTTCAAGGGCCCGAAAGGCGTTGCGGCAAAGTGCCCAGTTTGCAGCATTCCAATCAGATTCTTGGTATGTGCAGAACCTGCAATAGCCATGGCTCGGTCAAAGGCAATATGGCCCTTGATTGCCGTAGCAATTGTGCGGCGAAGGAACTTGAACAGTTTGAGCACAAATCTCTTCTTCGGCACCTTTGTTTCCGGAAGCGATGTGGTGGAGTTTGTCGACTGGAGGTCCCCAGATGACCCCTGCCTACTGACGTCGGTAGAGCTCGCTGCTTGTGACTTCTTCCGGCGGATGGGCCATACCGGCTCGTTTTCATCAGACGATGGAGCGGGTGGTAGTGGCGAAGAATTAATCTCGCCAATTCGGAGCAGGGTCAAAGTGAGCTGCGCGTTTGTGGGGACTCCAGCCAAGAGTGTCCTGTATTTTGGTCAGCAATGCAAGAAGAGGCTAAAAAGCGATGGCTGTCATACTTCTGCAAATCGAGATGATCTTTCCAGTTTGGTACTTTTGCGTTCAGCAGATCAAGGGTGTAGGTGAGGATTGGTTCCCCGAAGAAGCCCAGCCCAAGTGCGAATCCAACGAGCTTGATGATCCAATAACTAGATGTAAAAGGTACAATAACAGATACCAATGTAAAGATGCTCGCAATGCGGAGTCTAGATGTAATCAAAAGGAACGGAGGTGTTGGTGAAAGGATGCTGTTATATCGTTAATATCATGTGTTCATATATCCTTCCAGAATGGCTCACTTGGCGAATTTCTCATAGATGTCCGTAATATCGCTCAGTATGCGCATAACTTTATCAGTCGCATGTGATACCTTCTTTTTCATGGGCTTCTTTGTCTTGTCTTCAGGGGAATCGACGGTCGAGGTTCCGGCTGCAGCATCGGCAGCTTCTGTGCTTTCAATGAGCGCATGTCTGTCAGAAGCGTCCTCTGACACTGTTTGACCGTATCTGGCCGATGCACTCTCCATAGCAACAGTGGCAAAGCTGTCAACCAGATTCTTGGCTTCTTGTTCAGCGGCTTCACCCTTGTGGTTTTCTGGAGCGCCCGTGAGACTATCCTCGGATTGAACTTGTCCTTCTGTAGGGCTACTCCCATTTGATTCGTCTTTCTTTAGCCGAACAGGGAATAGTAATAGGCGAACAGACGGGACCATGATCAAGGCTACGACAAGACCTAAGATGGTTGGAACCAAGAGATCCACGGCCCAAGCAACGAAATAGCCCTGTAAATTATTAACGACTTATGCAAACCCCGACTATTTCTGATACACATACCGCGCAGAATATTGTCGTTCTCACTGGTTCTTTCCACGACCGCAGGCGAGTGATATGGCGGAAAAATTCGGTCACTCCGACAACCACGGAGATATAAAACCTCTCAAGCGTCATGCGCAGTTTTTCTGGTGGAAACTTCTCATTTTCGGTACGATTGAGATCCAAGTTCAGAGAAGCGGTATCATGAACCGCTTTCACATGGTAGATTTGCTGGTCACATGTCAGCGATTATTCTGGACAACTAGGGACCATACTAACCTTGTCAAATCGTCGGATCAACATCCATAAATCTTCATTAGACAGACCCTTAGCAAGAGTCTCCTCTACTGCCCGCGACGATGCCTTCCACTGAGTGTTGGGCGGTCTCGGGCTCAGGGTCTGGAGGGGACCAAGCTCCTCTGGGGTCTCGTTGAGATCATGGCTCTCATCATCCAACTGTCCCGGCATTTGTGATCCATGGCTCATCTTCAAAAATTAGCGACGAAAATGCACTGGGGAGTGAGAAGCTTGGTATTGCTTACCATCTGGGCACCGGACGTTGGCTAGCGCGTACCCCATGTTGATGGTGTGGGGGTTGACGTCATGGCTTGGCTATTTTTGGAGTCGACCCCTGGTTCCGGATATGGAAGGCGGTATCTGGCTCTCTAAATGATATCCTAGCAGATAATCTTTGAAATGTAATCCTTCTTATCATTCTAACTATAACACCGGTTACATAGCGAACAAAAAGATTTCATCTCAAAAAACTACCAGAAAAACACCTCCAGAAATACTACCAAAAAGACATGTGTCGTCATATTTACAACGTTAGCTAGTCACTCCCCAACTCAGCATCTACCAGGCCTTCTCGCTTTGTGTTCTACACCTCCTTCAAAAGACATGACGTTGATCGAGTCATATTAGCTGATGTCCTTCCTTCTACGACACCAAGGTACAATTACAACCATGGGGGAGTCGAGGAATATGTTAGGATTATTAACAAGAGTTCGACCGCTATGAGCGTCAGGAATCCGGAGGGTTGTCCAACCCTTATTTCATCATGAATATTGATGAACGCTCCTTTATTGAGTGCTTTTTGGATTCTGGAGAGAGTCTCCTTAGGCTGTCATGGGAGACTTACGACCATGCCTCTCAGTCCAATATTTCAGAAGTGGGGTCACAACCCCACTCAGTGGCTGTCGCAGCGTTGGATGAAGTTGTCTCGACTTGGACCAGAATCGACGAGTCTCCCTCCATATTGCCTACAGGCAGAAGAGGTTTCCGTGGACAGAAAATAACCAAGAAACCAGACAATTCCTGGAGGCCGATCAAAGCGACAGGCCAAGAACTCAACAAGTGACCAAATTTCGTTGGCGAAGTAGCATGGTCCGAACCACGACGAAAAGTCCTGCAAGATATCGAATTCTGATTCAAAGAGTCTGACGGTCAAGTCAAGGCCGCGATCGCAATGACTGTCCATGCTCGTGGCCGAATTACCATTGAACAGTGGGGAAGAAACCAAAGGCCTGACGGGAGCGTGGACCTGCGGATTCCTGCTCAAATGATTGAGATCGTCCGCAAACCAGCGCCAAACTACCCCAGGGTCAATGGACAGCTTAACCTGCAATTTCGCGACGTTTTTCTTCGCGAGAAAGAGGGAACAGAGACCGATTTTGTTTTTACCGAAAAATACATGGAATATATTGGGGGCGCTGTATGGACTATCCAGTTCCCAGAAGGTTTGAATACATGGCCAGGAGCACAATTATCCACGGAGTGCTATACGGAGTGGAGTAAGAGAAGGATGATCTTGAATGGGTCGGCCAGGGTAGAGACATTGAGTGATTTCTTGAGTTTTCAACGTTTCCTCTTAGTCGGAGTTGCTATATACACCCCTAAGAAGCCGACGCAAAAGAAGAGATGACGTAAAAGCAAGAATAAGTACCTAAGTAACTTCCCAGGAATCTATGATGAGTTCATTCGTGTTTCTCTTGGTCCTAAGATCACCCCCCTTGGGGATTTGCATTCCAATTGGCCCATTTCTCACGGGCCCAACCAATTCCCGTGGACCATCCCTAAATAAGCTCAATACCAAACTTTAACCCCGTATATTTCCATTATTAAACTAGCTCGTGTTCCTATATACCGTGGATCATGTGGGCTATGACCTTCCTAGGTAACACCTAACAGGCTAGCTAGAAAACTAGCTACAACTACCGAAATTTCTCAAGTGGGGTATTTTTATTTATATTATGCTGAATCCATTCGTCGAGTCAAAAGGTTCTTTGGTTCCCAGCCCCAGCCAACGATAGCCATGTCAAATTATGCGAACTGGTTGCTCTCAAACGGCGGGCAACTCCAGTCTCGCAATGAACCGTTACAAACCAATCCGGCGACATCGCCTCTTGGGGCGAGTGTGATCGATCCGTTGCCTCGATTACAGCGAAATGGGTTGATTGCAGTTTCATCTGTCGCATCTGTTTCGCTGGTGGCAATCTGTTTAGTCCTATGTTTCCTTACTTATCGGTTCATTTTCTGGCGCAGATACTATCGAAGATACATCGGGTACAACCAATATATCGTCCTTGTATATAACCTGGCAATTGCAGACTTAATACAGGGCCTGGGGTTCATTGTCAGTTTACGGTGGATTGCCACCAACTCCCTCCATGCATCCGATGTCTCGTGTTTTCTGCAAGGCATTTGGCTACAGGCAGGAAATCTGATGAGTGGGGTGTTTGTGTTTGCTATTGCTGTGTTTACCTTCTTACATATCGTGCTGGACTTCCAGATGGGCCATCGGAAATTCGTGGGTGTGGTAGTCGGTTTGTGGATGTTCGGCGTTTTGATGGTCATCATTCCAATCGCGACCGTTGGTCGATACGTCTGGTTCCCTTCAGTCGCATGGGTAAGTTCCCCCATTCATTGGTAAAATAGCCTTGTGTTAAATGGCTGATCCCTTTTCGCCTAGTGTTGGATAACAACTAAACACCCGGCATTGCGACTGTGGACACACTACTTCTGGATCTTCGCCGCACAATTTGTCACGCTTCTACTTCATGCTATTATGTTCATTCACCTCCAGCGCAGAATCACCGACTGTATTACGCTAGGAGGTTCCAACACTAATAGTCTCTGCCGCTTAAAACGGGTCATCAGCTACATGGCGCTATACCCGGCCGTGTATATCACACTGACGTTACCTCTCGCCGTCGGACGAATGGCGTCTACATCTGGTCATACCCCTAGCGCCACATATTTCTGCATCGCGGGCTCTTTGATGGCCTTGTCTGGTCTGTGTGATACAATATTGTATACTTTGACCCGGAAAAATTCGATCCTATGTCCGGAGAAGAGGCCGAGAGAAGTCAATAGATCCACCCAACTACCCTGGGCGGAAGGGAGAAGGTGTAGGATAATAAAATCTTTGTGCCCAACTTTGAGCAACTGGGGCCCCCTCTCTAGTGTTAGTACAACTACCCATCGCAGTGACCTTGCCAACGGAAGCATACCAAATGGGGAGGTGGAACGTGTTGCAGTGGACCAAGCACACCAGGAGATAGTGCCTGGTATAAGATACGATCCGACGCACTCAACAGGTCCAGAAAGTTCATTGAATCATGAATGGAAGACCAGCTGGGAAGAGGATGATATATCAACTTTGGAAAGAGGGTTCCCGCGGAACGGAGGTACATAAGTTTCGCGGAAGGCAGAAGCTACCATTGTCTCTGGGTTCTCTTATTACATGCAGTATACAAATCACACCTCGGAATACTTCCATCTTTCAAGAATTAGAAAGGTTAAGTGGGCTAGGAATAGGCTCTAGTAGGCTCTATTGGACCTGATTTACTTCACATATAATATCAATCTAATTGGTAGGACATGATGACCCCCCTATTTTCCTGCCGTGAGTACCCTAAGTGAAGGGTAAGCTGATCCCTGAGCACTAAGTGAGCATATAGTAAAGGTGAGCCGCAATGAAGCGCGTCCACGGGTGGTATCTCAATGGTTAAGATCTACAACGCTTAAACGGCGTCAAACCTAGCCCTTTTCGGCCCCCAATCTTCACTTAGCGTGGTGGTGTAGTCTTTTCAAAATCTTTATAGCTGTATTCTCTGAAGTTGCTCTAATGACTCCCATATGCACTTCAGAGCTGTCTTGAAAAGTATACCCAGAATAATAACTCATTATTATATGCATGATGTTCCTCTGTCACATGGCATATCAACAAATCTAACCCATCTGATATAGCCAGTTTGGGATCACCGATGGCTCATACAGCTCCTGGATAGCCACATATTTCGAATAAATGACACCCGCAAACTATCATCCCGCGCGCGCAATATCCGTCCTCAAAATCTCCATGAACTCCTCGAAATTCTTCTCCGCAGCAATCGACCAGGGCGTCTGCCCATGCACGTTGGTTTGTTGCACCAACTCTGGGGCTTTATCCACAAACAATGCCAACGTCCGTCTCACTTCAATCGACGCAAATTGGTCATTAGAGCAGTCAACATCAGCCAGATAATGCAATACATTGTTGCCCTCGTAATCTACTGCGCTCAAATCCGCTCCCCGTTCATACAGGCTCATTGCACGCGTCAGGTCACCCTCCTTCCAGAACGCCGGTCCAAGCTGTCCACCTCGGAGTGGGTACGCCGAGACCGAGCAGGCATACGAGTCGGTTCCAGTCACACAGCCCGCCGCTGCCAGCAACAGCGTTCTTCCTGTAGAATCGCGTCGTTCGAGGTCAAGGTTGGGCATATCTAGCCACGGTTGGATGATTCCTCCGCTGGCGAAAATCTGGTGTAGAACCACGTCGTTCGCATCGCAAGGCAGGAAGGGATCTGCACCGCGTTCTAGTAGGAATCGAATCATCCTGCAGGCGTGGTCGCGGCTGTTGGCTTCGTTGAATGGTAGCATTGAGATGTAAAAAAGAGGGCTTAGTATGAGCCCGCTGTTCACTGCAACCTTTTTGAAACGGTGCGTGTGCCAATGTGGTTGCGCATCGGATAACACCGTCGTGTTGCAGTCCAGGTCCATTTCCAAAAGAGCGGAGACCACGTCTTTGTTGAAACTATACAATGCAACGAAAAGTTCCATGGGGTGATCCTGAGAGGGATATGCTCCATGTTCGATCAATAATTCGAACAACTGCTTGTCATGCGCCGACATGGCAAGCGGAGTATAGCCACACGTCGCAGGGATGTTAGGATCGGCGCCGCCCTCCAGCAAGATTCTGGTGATTTCGAGCTGGAGGTGGCCGCCCAGCTCCCGCCGTGAAACGGCATTGCATAAAGGCGTCTTGCCCTGGTCATTTCGGGCGTTGGGGTCGCCCCCGTGTTCCAGGAGGTACCGAATGGCTCCTTTATACCACCAGTGCGTACCTTGGGCCAGTTGGTGAAGGATCGTGTCACCTGGCTTATAATGCCGAGCCAGTGCCATCGTTGATTGGTAGTATACCCTAGGTTTATCGACCATGTCCGCTTCAAATCTGATATTAACATCCACGTTGAACTTCTCGACCATGACCTGAATGACATCTAGATTAGGAAGGTCTCGCTGGCCAGCCGCTAGAAGATACGGAGTCATCTTTCCGCTGCCAAGATTAGTGTCGCCGCCGTTGATCCAGTTGCCGGTTATGGTGCTGCCAATCCGGCCAAAGAGCTCTGAAAATCCCCACCGCGCGAGCGAAGCCATGATCGCTGGCATTGATGATTTGTCCTCGATAATGGAAGCGTTCTTCTCCAGCGCCTGTGCAACCTCATGGTGGTAGCCGAGTAAGATCATTGGGAGCACATTATGTTCAGAAACATACTCCTTGAATTGCTCCCGGAGTTGGTCTGGGAGATGCTTAGAGCGCAGCAGATAGAATTCAGTATTAACAAAGCGGAAATTTCCCATATCAATGCTCATTTCTCTTGATAACCGGTCCAATTCCACGGCCATCTCCTCATTTCCCTCGGCAACCGCATAATACATGGGACCAGTGCCAAAATTCTTTTCATATGCCAAGGCTCCATGAGACGCCAATGCTCGCACAATTCGTCCAATTCCGAGTGTCGAACTTTCAGATGTGATTTCTCCTTTCCACCCCAAACTTTTGGTGTTGTGACGCGGCGTTTTCATCTTCGATGTGGGCTGTTTCGGTCGGTTGCTGTCTTCTGCCAAAACCCCTGCCGCGGAGCACGTGTTCATCATGTTTTCCTGGTCATCGGCCCCCTGCCAGAGCTGGTCTTCGGCAATGGACTCGGAACATGCATCTAGAGGGGTACGGTTGTGCTTATCCTCGATGTTGACATCCGCTCCGTGTGCGAGAAGAATGTTCACCGTCTCCAGTCTTCCAGAGCGGCAAGCCACATGCAACGGTGTTCTTCCATCTTCCGAGCGTGCATTTAGCCTTGAAGCCAGCGTCTTGGAGTCGCAGTGGTCTAAAATCAGCCCAACGGAGTTACTTTGGCGCGCGGTTGAAGCAATATGCAATAAATTGCGGCCATCCTTTGTTAAAACAGTGGCATCGGCCCCGTGAGCGAGTAATTTACCGACCAGGTGCTCAGAAACCGTGGCAGCAAGGTGGATAGGTCGAATCCCCTGGTGGTCACTCATGTTCAGACCGACACCAAGACCCGCATCTAGGAGTAGGTCGATAGCACACTTGCCTCCTTCTGCGGTTGCTGCGAAAAAATCGTCCGAAGACTGACTGCATAGCATATGCAGAGGCGTCCAACCTCGGAAATTTTGAATGGTCGGGGAGACGCCCATTTTGATAAGTTGAATCATGGCTAAAAGAACGTTATCTTGGTTGATGGTGGCAAAATTGGCTGCGAGATGATGCAGGAACGTGTCTCCTTCGTAATTAACCATTTTTGGATCTGCTCCAAGGGACAGTAAAAAGTCTAAGTACTCCGATCGGAAATGGTATGGTTGGATCAGATAGGATAGAACCCCATTGCCTTTATAATCCTGCGTGTTGATATTGGCTCCGCGGCTGATGAGATAGGGAAGTAGCTCGCGACAATTCCACTGCGGGGTGCCACGCATAGCCTTAGTGAGAAGCGTACATCCATGATAATCTCTAGCCTCGAGATCTGCACCGGCTGCGCACAGAATGTCCAACACTTCCTGGACATTTTGTTCGGATCCTTCAACCATGTGAATTGCCTGTTGCCCTTTATGGTTCCTCTGGTTCGGGTCAATTCCAAGTTTTAGAAGCTCCACTATAGTTTTGCTCCCGGGATGATATCTCGCGACGGCGGTGTGAAGAAGCGTGTTACCATTTCCATCAGTAATCATCCAATCCGACACAAATGGCTGGAACAATGAGAGATCGCCCAGCTGACATTTAAATGCATAGGCATGCAGCGGGGTTTGGCCATCTCCACTTCGAATGATGTCCAGGCGGGCCCCATTCGCCATAAGGCCTCTGAACCAATCTGGCTGGTCTAGGGGGTGGTGGAGGAAATGCGCAGAGGTGCCTCCTCGGTCCTCTGCGATGTTCGGGTCCGCGCCATGTTGTAAGAGAAACGGGACCAGGGCGATCTCATTGTGTACGGACAGCAGCAGCGCGGTGTTTCCGTGGGCATCCTGTGCATTGATGTCGCACCCAGCATCCAGCAGCAACTGCATCAGCTCTTCGTAACGGGGCAGGTCTTCCAACTTTTCATAGGGACGCGTGCTGTCCGCCACTCCGTGTAGGGGTGTGAAAGCTGGGGGTTTATCTCCGGACCGCTTGTTCTTGGATCTGATTGTGGCATCGGCCCCGTGCTGAAGCAGGGATTTTACTATGGCCAAATCGGCTTTTTTCGCGGCCGAGAATAAGAGCGTGTCCCCTTCCACCACCGCGTTGACATCACATCGCCCGGTCTCAAGCAGAGCCTGGGCGCTGGTTATTTTACCACGTTCGCAAGATCGACTTAGAGCGGCAGTCAGATCGACAGGGTCCGCAGTGATAGCCAATTGGCGCACCTGGTCCACATCTTCCGCATCAACTGCCGCATGGAGCGGAGAAAGGGGCTCTTTCGGCTCGGCGGTTCCATCACTGTCGTCGAACGCTCCAGGCATTGTCCTGCGGAGAGATGATAGGAAATCCATGGTTTTTTGGCGGTGAAATGGAACTAAAAGCCAAAAGTGGGAGACATTTTATGTCTTAAATAAATATCGTACCCTTAGCGTAGGCTTCCGTGGCGAAAACCGAAGCAAATTACCGAGCCTCGCCAATAGTCTTTCACACTATCTCACATCGCGCACGTCTGCCTGAATAATTTTAAATCGGGAGTGATTTAATGATTTTTTCAGCTTGGCTAAAAAACACTGGTATCCCTTCCCCACTGCCCACTGGTTGAGCCTCATTATAAGTCACCAATTTGGTCAGCCCTATCTAGTAATAAAAGGTTGGGTTAGCCGTATATGAATATAAACAAAGAAACAATTCGATGTTTTTTTATGTGATTTTGCTGTTTCATATGGTCAAAAAAGCACAGCACAAGTCCAGAGCAAAAAAAAAACAAATGCAAAAAAGAAATCTCTCCCTCGGGGAATCGAACCCCGGTCTCCCGCGCTTATCGGTATTAATGACAAGCGGAAATCATCACCACTAGACCAAGGAAGACGCGATGGTCGAGTTACTGCTCGACCACTTGGCTGGTTGATGGAAATACTGGGCTATCTAAGCTACATAGCCCAAGTTGTTTCTAGACAGATTTGGACGTCATTTCTCAACTTCCCATTATCGAGTCCCGATGGCCCCCTTCTGCTCAATAATATTTTAATGTCTAGATAATTCCCGGCTGAGCAGCTCTGGAGGTCCATTGGTTCCCATTATACCATTACTTAACGTTCTAGTTTTATCTAGGCACTAGGCAGGTACTTATATATATCATCGCTCTCTGCTCGAGTATAAAATAGGAATATAAACCACGCGCCCATCAAATTCTGTATTCTGTTACCCTTGTCCCTGCAGTCTTTATGAGATACTCTATATTTACTCGTCCATTTAGAGACCAATTCCCTTCCCGTCAAATCTCTACCGTCCGTCCTTGCTCATTCCCTGCTTCATTCTTGGGAATACTGAGACTCTTTCAACTATCTACATCCGTGGTCATTAAACCTTAAGCAATGCACGACGCAATGAGTCCTGCAACACGACTAGTTAACAAACTCCCAAAGGATAAGAGTTACCGGTAATGGGGTCTATCGCTCCATGTATCGCAATGACGAAGGCTGGAACTACACATTTTGAGATTCTATTGAATTCCAACCCTGGCCAAGTAAACCTTAAATAGAAAAGTACCTAGGTAGAGTGACGGTAAAGATAAAGGCGAAGCATATTATTTTTTAATTGAAGATAGGAAAGTTGGGTCCTTGTATGTCAAGTTATGTCTTCTTAGTACCATTTACGTCCTTCTGAATATATCTCAATTTATAGAATCCACAAACACGTTGGTAGGTTCCGATATTTCTTACAGGTCTACCGGTCTACGTTTTCTTTTCTTTTCTTTCCCTATATTTTCTTTTAGCTTAAGGTCGGTGAGTTGATTCTCGAGTATCGAATGATCAAGACAGTAATCTCGCTATAACAGCATGGCCAAATCTCATCGCATAGTCTCTAGGTGAATAACCCCGATTATCAATATGAAAGACATCCACGTTCTCAATGGCAAGTATTAGGTTAACAATATCCAAATTGCCATTCATGGCAGCCAAGTGTAATGGGTATCTTCCTTCGTGATCCAGTGTGTGAACCCAGCTTGCATCAAATTCAATCAGAGAAGTGGCCATGGAAACATCGTCTTTCTCGACGGCATAATGAAACGGTGTGTAGACTGGCTTGGCTTCCCATCTTGGCGCGGAAAAATCTCCAGTCTCAATGTTGCCTTTGGTGATTGTGGCACTGAGCACATGTTGAACCATCAACTCTCCTGCTTCCTCGCATCCATAAGAAAGCGCTGTCTGTAATGGAGTTTGGTTTTGACTACTCAGGATATACACAACAGACAATCTGGAATGAAAAAGCAGTAGCTTCACCATTGCCAGGTTATTGAACTCTGTTGCAATATGTAGTGCCGTCAAGCCGTCTTGGTTGATTGAATCAATATCCACCTTATTGGAGTTAATCAAAGACTTCACGATTCTCCGATCTCCTAAATTGACAGCTTGCTGTAGGGAATCATAGCCAAGTTGTACCGCATAATGCGGAAGTCGATGTATCCTTGAATAGCTGAGCAACAATTCAACAATGTGCAATTGCCTCCCGCTCACTGCCGCATGTATGGCTCTCCATATCCGACGTCTTAGAACAATATCCACCCGGCTTTCTTCGAGAATCATCCTGATTAATCTTTCATTTCCATCACGTGCTGCCACTAGCAGTACTCCACTGATCACATCAAAGTTGAAGTTGCTAGTGGTGTCAAGATGGTGGTGCAATGATCTGATAACGTGGTCGGCTCTTGTGAGATCCGAGCCACAGTGACCCACGAAAGCGACCACAATAAACACATGACCCCTTTTGATTGCCAAATCAAGAGGCGTGTTATTATCAAGGTCTGTAGCAGCTTGATCGGTATTCTCCCAGAAAAGTAAGAACTGGGTTGTGGTTTCAGCTCCATACCAAGCAGCTGCGTGCAATGCTGTGTGTCCGTGGTGATTCATCTTCTTGTTCACATCTATACCTGGCTTTGAGCTGATGATATATTTAACAGCAGACAAATTGCCAGTTTCCGCGGCTCGGAAGAGGAGGAACGATGCTCCATCGTCTGTCATTGTGACAAGGTCCAAAGCTTTCCGCTCAAACAGCCTCTCAAGAAGGTTACTGCTTGCAGGGCTTAGTGGTAAAGATCGTGAAATGTGAGACTGCCAGTATAGCATCGCATAATCACGAAAGAAAAAATGGTCCATCGAACGTAAGCGCGCGGCTTTCGCTTCTGCGAGTGCCTTCGCCATGTTGAAGCCGGAGTCATTCTGGAATCGAAAGAGCTTTAAAGCAAGGCTGCTGCTCACGGAGTCTAAGGAGTAGCGCGTAGACCGAATTATACCATTCATCGTTTCATCAGACTTGATCTCAGGGATGACAACCTTTGACAGCTGACGATCGTAGTCGGAATAGTTCAGATAAGTCACAATGATATCCGACATCCTTGCATGGGCCTCGACACTCGTGACTGACCTACTAGCTGAGTCTTTGAACTCTGTAAGAAGATATTGCTTGACACTGTGGTGAACTAGGCGTAAGGTCAACTCCTCTTCGTCGATAATGACAAGGCTTCCGCAGCATGCCAGGGCGCTATGGATGTTATTAAGAAGCCGCGTTGGATTCCACTTTGTATCACCTGGAACTACACTCAGTACCTCGCGTAGCTCATCTAACGTCAGCGGACGCTGAGCCACAGTCACCAGCTCTAGGATCGGTCTCTGATAGGAATGGCCAAGTTTCTGTGATCTCTGCAAGATGCGCCAAAATGTCTCGGAAAGGCCTTTCGGGAGGTCTTTAAGAGCTTGACAAATTGCTTCGTCGGTCTCCATGGCGCATAAAGATTCAATCTGAAGAGTGACCCAGAGAAACATGCCCTGTGAGAACATGGTAAGGGTCTCCTGTATTTCAAGGAGCAGGGATACATCTCCAACAATGAGCTTCTTGGACTCGATGCATCTCTGTAATTCATGTGAAATGAAGAGTTCGATCTCGGACGTGTTTTCGGGCATCGAAGTCATCGTAACAACGGAAAGCTGTTCCGAGCGGATATTCAGCGGGTCATTTGCGTCTTGCCGAAGCGAAACGCAAAGTGAAATCACAAACATAGTTTGAAGTTTGTGAAGGTGTTGAATCGGAAATTTCCTTTCTTCTTGATCGAGTTCATCAATTCCATCGATTACGATAAACGCCCTATATCCGTGTGGGAATGCGGATTGGAGGAGAGCAAAGATTCTTTCGGGGGAATCCATATTGTTTATTCGCTCGAGTAGCTCAGCCGGCCTTGTCAGATCTGAAACCCGTTCAAGGAGTTGTCGCGCAATTGAGCCGAGCACGGTTTGTGCTTTTAAACTCTCCGAAACGTCGTGTCGGGCAAAGAAGAAGGCCACCGGTATAACCTCGACTTGTACCTGCAGATGCAAGTTTTCGACTATATTAGCAAGCAATACGGATTTGCCAGCCCCAAGTTTGCCCGTATAAATGAGTGTGTTCGATGTTGTCGTACTTATCCACCTTTGGTAGTGTAGGCATTGGCGAAAGGTATTTGTGTTTCCGGCCTTTCGAATCTGCTTCCACACCACCATGTGGTCAAAGTTGGTACAGATATCGAGAACTCGCTGACGAGCCTGGACCTTTTGCTGGTTTGAGGCTGTCCGAAAGAATCTGGACGAAACCTCTCGCAACTTGGAGTTCTTATTAGCTTCCTCCTCAATTCTGGTTGCCATAAGAAGGGCAACTTCCTCCTTGATTGTATTCCCCCAGGACTCAAGATCGGACTCATATTTATTCAAATTCGAATCGGATAATGATGAACCAAACTTCTTCAGGTTTGACTTGCGGGTGAACCGTAATATGTCGTGACAGAGATGAACAACCCCGATAAAGTATTCACAAAGTGATGATTGCAAATCCCTAGAGCGAGGATAAAGTAGAGCCATGCTTTCAAAACGAGGTGCTGAACGACCAACATTCATAAACAGCATAGACAGCTTCTCAAGATACGAGGAGAATGTTGTCAGAAGCTATTGATTAGACAGTCAGCAAAAGAATGGAATTGAGATTCCTATCCATCCTATGGTTCTCCTTCCATTGAGAGCTTTGAAACACCTACCTGCAACGACGTTCGAACAATCGTCCAAATTCCGCACGCAATAAGATTTTGTGATCCCCCAACTATTACATCACCGAGGGCAGCAAATTTCTGAATTGCCTGCAGGAGATTCATAAGCCTAGGCCCGAGACAACGGCCACTTCTTCCCGAGGCACGATCGATCTCCGCAGCAAGACACATGACATCTTGAGTATTTGGCAACGATTGTATTGTCTTAGCTCTATTAGCCCGAAAAGCCGCTTTCTGTTCTCCGGACAGATCAGCTTCAAACTCCGAAACTGCCTGAGCCAGACGGATCTCGGGCTTTAGGCGTGAGGCGGTCCTGAGGGCTTGGGACATGGGGGATCTTGATTCACCAATATGCTATCATGCTGGTGAACTTTGATGCAACACGGGGAGTTTGTTGAGTTTAAGATAGCTGGGAGACAGTGGGGGAGAGGCTGTGGAGGCTGGGCAAAGAGGCTTAGCCCATATAGTGTCCAGGCGGGGGTATCGACAAACCTTGAAAGGGATCGATGGCCCAATGACAGTTCGAATATCGCTGCTAGTGCTGACCTCCGTTATTCTAATGGTGCTTCTGGGCTCCGTTATGACGATGAGTCAAGTAAGATAAGAAAGCGAAACATTTATACCTCTATCGTAAGGAGAATGAAACTCATCATGTATGTGGGTTAGGGTCCGGCCCGGCCCTGGGAGGTTATAAAATCGTTTTTGCAGGGGTAACATGAGACGGTGGGCCTTATATTCTAGATTACTTTGGTTCTGTAAAATGTCACGCTTTATGGTATTTGTATTTGATTTGACGAAGTTCAAAAAAAAGGGATCGTGGCAGAGTCTGGTCCGTTCATAGATAAATCGACTATATAACGAGAAAGAACGCAATCGCGCACATAATGAGATATTGAATCCAACACAATTCAAGACACGATGGAAATGATCAAATATTTAAGACCCGGGGGAACATAAGTAGCGACCGGTGCAAGTCAAGTGCTGGTGGTCACACAGATTGAGGGCAGAGATCGAGCTGAAAACGAAGTAGGGTCACAGACGATTGGCTAATTCGTACATAGCGGACGCGGTGGTTGACGCCCGAATATAGTAACACCCCTCAGGGGCGGACCACATTCGGGTTCAGGACCTTGAAGCACAACAGCTTTCAAATGAAGGTGGATCAAGTATTGATTCTCGCCGAACGGTCGGGGTGGGTCTCATTATGAGATGGATGTAAACCAGGGGGTAAACAGGACAGAGTAGATCCGATAGGGGGTCCGCATGTTGGACGTATTCGAGATTGCAAAGAAGAACCATTCATTCAGCTCTCCTTGTCCTGGCTGCGGAGCTTATCAAGGCTATCACGAACAGTATAGCGAACACTGAAGCCACCAAATAGCCAGTCGTTGGAGTGGCGACCGTAGTGGTTGACAGTTCCACTGTAGCGTTTGTAGTCGCCGCTGCTTTTGCGGGTGGGGGTAGATGCACGCTTGGGGCTGTCCGCCTTCGGTGAACCCATGCTGGGAGACATCTGGGTAGGGCTGGTTGAGGTGTAGTCTTGGTCTGGGAAGTATGAACTTTTGTGATTGCTCTGTGGGATGTCTCGAGGCTGTGACATTATGTCTTCGTGGCTCTTGGGAATATCGATCAGTGCAGGAGACTTGGATCGAAAGAGATTGGAGAGGGGCTTCGACAATCTGGAGCGCTTTTTCTCTTGAGAGGACTGGCTAGTGTGGGAGGAGGTTGAGGTAGCTGACGTTTGGGAGAGCGATCTCTTGGGATAGATATTAGATTGAGTGTGCATCACTTGGGATATGAAGTAGAGAATGGGAATAAAAATCAAGAAGCCTGCGGGATGGGTTTATTTATGTTTGAGACTACCTGGGTAACCAAGTAATTACCCGGTTGGGATCATCGGGGGGGGGGAGGGGTTGTCCCGTAGGGCAACCAACCAAAATGCAAGCCAAAGTACAACATTGTCGCTATGATGTCGCCAAACACGGACAAAGGAACGCCCTCGGGAGAGATACAGCCAATCAGCATCATAGCACATGGTTTGGCGACAGACCCGTCCACATTCCAACCAATAGAAATCGAGTTGAGGAAGTTGGAAGATCCACTGGTAAGGTTTAGCGTGATTTTTTGTTGTCGGTGAGATTTGGGAGGTTCCGAGGGAGAAAGTGCCCTATCGCCCGTCCACCAGCCAATCAGCAATTGTTTCTGCCTTGGAGCCTCCTCTTCCGCTTTTCGGACCCCGCAGATTCACCGCATCTTGACCGTCTTTGACATGCCTGGGCTTTTGTTTGCTTACATCCATCCCGTATTTGAAATGACACGTCTACATTCTGCACTTTTCGGTCGCAATGTGCATAAATTTATTATATGTTGTACGGAGTACTCCGTACCCAAAGTCAAGATAGATGAAAGTCTTCCATACCTGATTCCTCTCGGGATCCTGACTTCATCGCTCCGCTCAAGTGGGGGGTCACTGCGCGGGGTTAGCATTAATATTGGACAAGAAACCGAAATTGTACAACATACGAAGCCTTTATGAGAAATCCTCGTGCCCCGATCTTTCTTCTCGTCACCAATCAAACTCGCCTAACTCCCCTTCTAGCGTTCTTCTAGAATGCCGTTCTAACCGAGTGACTTGGCAGAGATGTCTGAGTCACCTGGCCCCCACAAGGCCGTCAGCTAAGCTAGTACGTAAAAGGATAGTTTAGTTGAGGGGAATTGGCTTCATGTCCACTTGACGTATTCAAGTGGGGTAGGTTATAATGATGTCGACAGGGCTAGAAAAAGTTACCTTTGAGAGATATTTGGACGTTATAGACAGTCTCTCACGATAATCTGAACTAATATTAACCTTGCCATCTTGTTTATGCGGGCCTTCGATCCCTCGGGAGAAAGATTATCCAAAGGTATAAAGGTCTCTTTCCTAACTACGTGTGTACTGTCCCAAAAAAGCAAAGTCATTTGTTATAAACACCAAAACCAAGAAATGAAGACCAATCATGCAGCAATCAACTATGGTCCTATTAAATAGGACGGCAGCCAGCTGAAACACAGCTTTAGTTCAAGTTCGCAATTTTAGGAATGGGCATTGGCCTTCCATTGTTTGTTAGGCCATTGGCCATCTCCTAGGTTCCGCGAGATGGATATTTCCAGAAGATTAGGCTCATGACCTTTGGGCATTTCAGGACGGTTTGAAGATACCAGAAAGTAACCATTTTTCTGCCAACCGGAAAAGGTAGAGCCAGCCTCATCAAAAATCTTTCTGAGCCACTTCGCTATGTCCCTATGTGCAAGAGCTTTCGGATTTGCAAGAATTTGTGACAAAATAAATTTAGATCCGCGTATTGCAAAACAAGTCAGCACACGCAGAGTCTGGGTAGGCTCATTGATCCAAAGTATCGTCATGATTTGAATATTGACAAGAGGATGCTGAGTGAAGGCACAATAATGCACCATGTGATCACGAACATCGCTCAATCTCAGATTGTGGAACATAGGATAGTCGTGGTATTTTCGGGAATCAGGTAGCCTGTCTTTTCGTGATTTTAACATATCAATCAAGTGACGTAAATCTGGAAATTTGATGCTGAAGCAAGGGCAAATATTGATCTCTCCAGCATAGAAGCAGGGACCTCGAGAAAATGGCCAGGTAAGGCGATAGTGGCGTTTTGGAGGTGGGTACAGCTGCTGATAGCACTGGCAGAAGCAATGGCAATGTTTCCAGCGGCTATTCTTAAGTCGATGGAGTATATTTGTGGTTGACCTTTCATTAGAAATGAAATTGGGACAAAATACAGTGGCTGTCTGATGTGGCACATTATGAGGTCCACAAAAGATGGAGGTGGAGGTGAGTCTGCTGAGTTGCCGCCCAATGTGTTGGATATCCATTTTGTGTATCTGTCTGTTTGTATGTTTATAAGTTAATAAAAATGGTTGATGAGACCTTTGTTGCTTTCCCACCATGAAGGAGAATAGAGGTACCCAGTAGTGACGGTATTTGTACGTCGATGACAGTGGACTGAAAGGCTACTTCCTAAATCGGGTTAGTCCTGGAGCTTGGATTATGCCGGGGGCGCCTTCCTCCACTTGCGTTAGTATACCCGCACATCGACTGCTTGCTATTATCACTTTTTCACCTCTCCTCCCTCGCAGAGCTATTTAATTTGACCCCAGACCTTTATTACCTCACGCACCCACAACTCCACAATGGATGGCGTAGTGGCGCTGTTGGTGACCACGATCTTGATGGGCATCTCCATTTTGTCCCTACAATATGAGGTTTGTCGTTAATACCAATATTTTGGAATGAAGCTCACGACCGAAGACCTGGAGACTCCGGAAGCGAATTAAGAAGTTGGAAAACAAAATCGAACCTCAATAGGCTTGTGTCTTTTCTTCTTACAATTCGAGGTATGTCCTTGGCACTATGATTCTGGAATGAACCTGACAATGAACCTGACAGAACAGGAGTGCTATAGTATGACCGAGTGCACACAAATGAAGCCCTGTCTCCCACGTTCTATGGTCGTTGGTGCCTAGAGTGGCCCTCCAATACAAAAACATTCCCCTTCGATGAGTTCAACAACCCGGCCTGTCTAGGGACAGGAAACGATCAGAGACCGCGACACAGAATGGAAAAAATACCGCCTTGGATTACTCAACGCCCAGGTAGACGGGCGTGTATTGGTGGCCACAAACTCACAGTAATTGCGGCAGACTTGATGCCTATTGCACCCTATCAGACCGATAGTGTGATTCTCACTTCTGGTCAACGATATGATGTTATATTTGAGGGGTGCCAAGACATTTATTGGATACGGGTGAACGCATGCAATAAATTTTCAATTGACAGGAATGATATAACAGCCATTATTCGCTATCAAGGTGCTAGTCAGGTTGGGCCGACCACAAAGCAACGGTCATCAGTAACGGATTTTTGTACCGACGGGCCCTACACAAGTCTAGTCCCTTCAAAAGACAGGTAGAAGACCTTAAATATTGAATGGTTCTATAAGACTGATCTTGTCTTCCACTGGTCAATTAACGCCAAGGTGTTGGAAGTTGATTGGCAGCGACCCACAGACCTTCTCATCTACCACAATCAGTCGGTCTTCTTAACTGATTACAATACATAAAAGATTCCTGCGGATAAGACTGTGATTCGAATAAAGCACTAGCTACCCATGCTGTTCTGGGCCGATGAGAGGGTATCAATGGACATGCTGGGTCATTCAAGATTTGGGTTTCATCAATGCCTGTCCCCCCTCCTATCTCCATGGACACGACTTTCATATTCTAGCACAAGGCTGAACATATACCTCTGCAACCAAACTAAGCCGCAAGAATCCACCTCGATGGGATACAGCCACAATGGTCGGTTCTAGATATATCGTCATTGCATTCCAGAACAGTAATCCAGGGTACGCATCAAAGTCCACTTTTTTCAACTCACTAAGGCGGGTTTAGATCCTGGCTCATGAATTTCCACATGACCTGGGACATGAGCTAGAATTTAGCGCTGCAATTTGTGGAGCACTAGTTGGATATACCGGAGTTGGTCGCCTGTTTCGGCTGATTTTGAATCAACTTGTGCGATTTGGCTAAGCATGATAGTTCTGGAATTTAATGATTAACCCACAAGGATTTAGGGCAAGCAGGTTGTTGATATATGGGCCATGTACATGCGAGGTGGTATCCGTATCTCTTCGGTGAATATCGAGGGCAAAACGGAGCAAGAGGTTCGGTGGGAAATGGAATTTCATCTTTATTCCTACTGCCTCTTTCACATCTGCTCTAGCTTCCATGGATAAAACAATTCAATATTTCAACAGTATGGGAGTCACCTGGTCGCAGATTTTCCCGCCCCCTCCTATTCTGACCGAAGCCAATCTACCCAGTCAGAAAGGTAAAGTCTTCATCGTGACTGGAGGCTATTCGGGAGTTGGTTTTGAACTATGCAGAATTCTTTATCGAGTAGGGGGAACAGTCTATCTCGCCGGTCGGTCTGAAGAAAAAGCATTGGATGCGATTGCGAAGATCAAAAGCTTGTGTACCCCGACTTCCCAAGGAGGAAACATAATTTTCCTCCCTCTATCGCTAGACGACCTAAGAACCATAAAGCCTGCAGTGAAGAGATTTACCACAGCTGAATCTCGTCTGGATGTTTTATTCAACAACGCTGGTGTCTCTTACCCTCCTCAAGGGACGTCGCCCCAGGGCCACGACATGGAATTGGCAACTAATTGTCTCGGGCCGCATCTTTTCACTCAGCTTCTTTTGCCGATACTACGGCACACGGCTATAATTACACCTATCGCCAGTGTACGGGTCATCTGGACAGCGTCGATTGTCTTTGATGCATTTGCGCTTGAGACTGGGATAGAGCTTGCAGAACTATTTCAGAAAGACGCAGACAAATCACGCAATTATCTCAACACCAAAGTGGGAAACTGGTTTTTGGCAGATGCCCTCGCCAGCCAGATTGGTGGAGATGGGGTATTAAGCCTGGTGCAGAACCCAGGGAATATCAGGACAAACATTATGCGCCATAGTCAGGCTCTTGTCCCTTTGATGCTTGGGCCGTTCCTTTATACCCCTAGGTTTGGGGCATATACTGGAATCTGGTCGGCTTTTGCGAGTGATCTGAAAATTGATGATGGGGGAAAGTATATCTTGCCCTGGGGGCGTATGCACCCGTGCCCAAGGGAGGACTTATTGCAAGCTATGCAAGGGAAAGAAGAAGGGGGCACTGGGGTTGCAGCGGCGTTTGTACAGTATTGCGATAACCAGATCGCAGCGTTTCTATAGTTACTTTATACTTCTTTGAACTTGGGCCTACTCTCGGGAGATAGTGAAAAAAGCGCGTTCATTGATGAGCCGAAAGCTCTAGTCTGAATTTCGTGTTGAATTTTACATGCTGGTATTTAGATATTTGCCAGTACCTGACCGGAGATCATTTGGGTCTTTGTCTTGTCAACAGACACTAATAAAACAGAATTCCTTTCAAGCTGTCGAGGGTTTTTGGAATCCTCAGATCTCCCTTCTCAGAACTTGATCCCATAAACAGAGCAACATAATTCAACAAAGATTACAATGCAACGCCAGCAGATTAAACCTAAAAATACAACCAGTACCGATCATTCTTCCTGCTCCTGAAGTGTCCACAATGTAGAGCTCGGCTTTCTCCATGCGCGCGGTTGTTCAGAATGACACCTCCGATGTCGCCTTTCAGCCATGAATCTTGCTGCGTCAACCCCAGACACAGACGACCTCTCCATGTCCGAGTCCGAGCAAACAGCCTGCTCAGCCACATAATGCGGTGTTATCATGCCAGGAATTGTATACAGATCACCAGAGCCCATATTTGAAGGGACAACAAATAAAGATTGAGTCTTGTTCAAGGGCGGCCGACGTGTCAACCGACGTATAACACTCCGGTATACCTGTTTCGTCTGACCCAATGACCCCGACACCGAGCTCTGATTACTCCGTCCCTTGGCGGACGATCGGAACCAGAGCCGAGGCATTCGCTTTGGTTGACGGGAAAGTTCTGGCATTCCCATATCATCGCAAAGAAACTGTTCTGTACTAAAGGGAGCCGCCCTAGTTCGCTGAAAAGATAGTGGGATGTAGGTTGCGGGGCCATTGCCTAGCTTCGATACATGGATTTCTAAACCGCGCGGCTCACGCATACACAGTTCTGAGCCGCAGTGAGGCCATGTATGGTGCCTTCTGTGGTGACGGATATGTGGCATATTGGAGAGGAGGAGATGAGAGAAGAGTTAGGTTGGGTGAAAATGGGATAGTAGTGAAATTATCCCATATTCGTGATGTATAATCGAAGCGAGATTAAGATAAACTATATCAGATAAACAGGGATTTGTATTTGCCCAGCAGAACGCAGCTTTATAATGCCTGTGAGTAATCTTTTTAAATAACTTGCACGTGCAGAGCACTACATTACTCAGAGGCTTTCGCGGGTGACCGAAGACTCATCTGCGAGAGAAAATGACCTAGGCGCATAGATATTGAAATGTCGGAAATCTGGGGGTTCAAGATTCAGGTGTTGCCAGCAGATGAATGAGGAAACACAGAGAAAGAAAGAAAGAAATAACAACTTTGAGTAAGTGTAGTGCTAAGCACCTTTTGCACGAATATCAATGATTTTGAATTCTCATTTTGAAATAGAATCTCTTGCCATTTCGCCCAAGGGAATGACCTTCTAACCTGATATGGTCAAGAGGGAGGCATATTGTCCCATGACAGCAACGGCCCGACAAGAGACCGGCGTTGTACTTTATCATATGACTCAAAGGATCCACCTATAATTTTTGATGGTTACATTTTTTTGATCCGAGAGATAATTTGTAAGCTTGACTGGTTATACACTTATATGGGCTAGAAGTATACTTTGGTACACGAGCGACTCACATAGCGAAGGCAAGTACCGGATACTTGCGAACACCTCAACTTGACAGAAACTTAGAGTATACCCTAATGCGCACTACAAATGATCAGAAAATCTTATATCAGACATTAGTCTATTCGAAAAAAGACAAAAGCCAGCCCCCACCATCTACCCCACCCAATATAGGCGTATGCCGTAAGCGGGAATTTCACGCACAAAATGATCATTGGCCGCTAATATGTACAGGGGTCTTACTTCACTAAATTAGAAAGTCGATCTGTCTAGTATAGATAGGGTATAAATATCTAGATGCTTGAACTGAATATGTATCTATCCCGATTGAGCCCTGCCTTCTTCTGGTGGCATCCTTTGTTTTATTTGTTATTGTTATTTTTGAGTAGGCGATGAGAATATGTCTCTTTGCTTAGAAACCTAATCATCTATATTCTCTACGAGACTCTTTAGTATGCATGTAAGTGCATTTGCCCCGCTTATGTACTTTCTACGCAAACACCGTGAATATATTAAAGTAAACAGTAACGTCACCAGGGTCCATTCTGTTTATTTGATCCCACCAAGCGTATTCATTTACTCTCCACAGAAAGAAAGTTAGACATATCTCAAGTGTTATTTTTTGTAGTTTATGCATTGTAGTATGTCGGATGCTTTTCTCATGCAAGGCATTATTTGAAGGAGAATCAAGATAATCAGACAAGTACCGAATTCACTCAAAACGAGAACACTCTTCCAGGTGATCATCATGACCCAGGGAAAAACCTCGGAGGTTGGGCGAGATTCTGATTCAAGCTCGGGGTTTGCTAAAAGCCCGGTGACCCTAGAAGGCTATGCCTAGGAAGGATAATGGCCCGAGTCTCTTAATATGAACCGAGGTAGAAGGATCATGATTTGTTCTAAATCCCGTGTTATATCTGCATCTAAATTAAAAACCAGCAGCAATTAACATTTGGGTCAGCTTGGGTTAGTGTATGCGCTAATAGATACGGAATACAGGAAAACCCATCCGAGACCAGGGGTAGGCGGCGCTAAAAACCATGTAATGGGGAGTATGCATGCAAAAATTGATCGAGAAAAAGTGGATATAGTTGACGGATTTGTATTTGTTTCAAAAGAAACTTAGGAACTACTCTCCTTCCCGTGGCAAGAAACCAAAAAAACCAAAAAAACCCCCCAAAAAACCCTTCCAAGGTTCTGGTACTGGTCAAACATGAACAACGCCGGAGATCTCGAACTAAAAAAAAAAAAATGAAGAATGCTATATGTTCTTCAGTCACGCGCGCTGCCACGCTGCAATATCCGCAGCGGAGATATCCAAATTTTCAGTCGTGAGCCGTTGAAGTCGTGCCACCTGAGTGGGAGCTAGAGTTTTTGAGTATCAGCAAGAGTCCGAAAGGGGCGAGCATGAGGGGCTAAATGTTGACCGGAAAGGGGAAAACGTCATGGCGGAAGAGGGGCAGATTCGAAAAGAACGGGAAAGAAGAAGAGAAATAGGAAAAGGGGACGCGGAACAAAACAAAAACCATCAAAAGCAAGGAAGGGGATTGACCCACTCGGCCGTTGGGCAGCTGCACCGGCGTGCACATGGATGATCGTCGAATCAACATACTCCTTCGTTACAACGCCGTTGTACGAAGCTGCACTAAGCATCACCCGCAGCCGGAACTTGCCTGGCTGCGAGATAGTGAGTGGGCTGAGTTTTGCATATCCGCTCATTGCGTTATCGGTTCGGCTCCGCACGCTCGCCGTGAGATTCCCACTCAAGCCAATGGCAGCTCCTGTGCCGGCTTCGTCGCGGAGGGAGGCGCTCACGACAAGGTGCTGCACATTTTGCGCCGGTGTCCCGATTGGATTCACGGCAATGACTACAGGGATAGTGAAGGGGGAACCAGGCTGGGCGGCTGTTGGGGGGGTTGTCTCGAAGGACAGTGTGAATTCACGGCCGGCCATTTTCGTTTTTTTTGTTGGGCAGTATGGTGCTTTGGAATAGACGAGTTGCGTTGGATCACTGGTTGATAGAAAAAAGAGTTTAAAGATTGAAGATCTACTTCAATCAAATCGAGAAGCAATAGGGGCGGCGAGATCGTGCAACTATAACCATGAAGTATAATTCAATAAAATCTGGGTGGAAGAGAGGCAATAATAGTAGGAAGAATGATTGGTGAGGTGGATGGATACGAGAATCGGGTCAAGCATAAACATGGCCGTACCCAGGCCTTCATATACCTCATGGCGCCGAGAATCAATAACGGACATACTTTGGACCCATAACCTCAATTGTGTGGTAAGCCCACGAGAATATCGCCACCATCCAAAAGTACAGGATTAGCCTAGGCGATGGTCGGCGACCAGGTACCTGGGACGACCAAGGGAGCCACCATGCCTGCAGAGCCAATATTTGTGAGCTCAATAACAGGTCTGCTCGGCATACTGCAGGATCCTTACAGCAGCACGTTCCGGCAACGGAATCGAACAGTGGGGCGATTGTTGTTCATGTTTTAGCTGATCGACAGATACGCGTCCTAGTATAATATCAGGTGTGGAGCATGTACGAGATCTGTGAGATCGAACATGCACTGCATGAGATCTGAAGCTAGTGTTAGGATCGACCCCGGGTTCCCTCACGACAGGGGTTCCACCGTGATCTGGAGCTTCCGGTTTGGCCCTTTCGCCATTTCGTGCTTTCGCCCACGGACCCTGATGGACCCGAGGTCGCCCGTGTAACCCTGGTACATCTGACAGGAAAATAGCCGGCACGCATGTCTAACGTTCATGTGTGAAGATAGGAGTAATGAGACATAGGACCTCAAGGGAATGGGGTGGTGCCTTAGGTGGTGTCTTGAAGCCTATTGTTTCAATAGTTCCGTGCACGGATCAAGTAGTAGGTTCATGCCCAACGTTATTTCGTCCCTATCGCAGGGTTGGTGCCTTATAATTCGGCTACTAACATCTGGTGAGTCGCAAGTGTCCTGGACCCTTCTTGTTCGATGTGGCGCACCACTAGTATGCAAGTATCTCATCTTGGTCATACATATGGAGTAAGTTTGTTATGGAGGTGCCTACCCCTACCTAGACCTAGTTGGACATGATCCCCGAGTCGGATGAAAGAAAAACAGCAGACCGCAATTACAACATACAGGCTTTGTCTAGCCCCTTCCTTCGGCAAATTCAAGCCACACCCTAACGGTGAACTGTGGCGTTTTGTGGAGTCAAGTGGACACTATCTTCGCCACTCGGAAACACCGACTTATCCCACTTCAACCAA